AGGGCCTCAACTTTCTCCGCAATGTCATAGGAACAGAAGAAAATCATTAATTTATCTTATATTTTTACGTAGAATATTTAATTTTATTAACTCATCTGCAAAATTTAGTGCCTGATTACTCATTAAGCACGTGAAACATACGCCTAGAAAATTCGCGTCTCGGGAGGCCCTAAATTTAAGGAAAAATAAAGCAATTTTACCGTTGCAATTGTAAATAATTCTATAACTACTATTAAACTTTATTATATTATGATGTAAAATTATGTAGGAGGGCCCTAACTTATGTGCCTAGGGACCCGAAAGGTCTTAATCCGACGGTGTCTGTTGGCTCCTTCTCTACTAGAGCTATTATAGCTTCATAGGGCCCAGGCAAATTTAAATTAGGGGGTCCCACGTACTGTACAGTGTTGATTTCGGACATTTTTCTTCGAGAAATGTTTTGAGGAATATATACATATATATTTTAAATAAAAGATTAATTTGGGGCCCCTATTGTGAGGGCTCTTTTGCTCAAAGGATATATATAGAACTAATATATACTCTCTCTATGTAGGATAGACAGAGGAAAGATAACCAAGAACAGAGCCAACGTACAGCTCTGTTCTTTGCCACCCTGCATAAGGTTACAAAGGGCCTCGTTCTATTCTCAGCTTATGCACATTACCCATTACTTTTTGATGAAGGAGGAAGGGCCTCTTGCATTAACTCTAGGCTGTAATAAATCTACACCTGGCTATGCCCGAGAAATAGGATAAATTGCCAGAAAAAAACTGTTTTAGAAGGATATAATCATAATTTTAAGCTTAATAATAATNGTGTTTGCTGGTTTCAGCCGCTAATGGGCTACACTCTTAACATTTTTGTATTCTAAATTTTCAACTTTTTGTGAAAATTCCTGCCAACTGTTTTAATATAAAGAGTAAAGTAATAGCATGGTTTAGGCCAAAGTTTTAAACGTGGAAACGTACCTCGGACGTTCAGCACTGCTTTCCTGTAGCCTAGAAGTTTGACAATGGTGTTTGGATAGTCAGTGGAATCATGCTCGACATTCCAAACACCATTGTCAAACTTCTAGGCTTACAGGAAAGCAGTGCTGAACATCTGACGTACATGTTTCGTGTTTAAAACTTCGTTTTCAACCTCACTAATAAGTAGTAACTTCGTGCAAGTGAAAACAAAACAAAAGCTTACATAATCATGTATCTTCTTTTGTGTATGTGCAAAATGTAGCAATATCTGATTGTGTTTGTTTGAATTTGACTACCAATTTGCAATATAAAAATTTAAAACATAATTGCTCAAAAATGACTAAAATGTTGAATCAGTTTACATAAAAATCCAGACATGTTTGTTCTGTGTAAGATAATAGATTATGTGAATAAACATTAAGGTAAATTAGAAGAGTAGTTGGAACTAAACATGTTAAGTATTAGTTTAATTACTAAATTGGGACAGTAATTGTCACTAGTAGTTAACTACTTTCCATCTGTAGTAGTTAGTTAAGAATAAACATTGTTTGACAACAATCAAGTGGAAAACATTTTATCACATTATTACATGATTACATACATAGAATGATTAAAGACAGTGTTAAATTTGTAAGAATATTATAACTGAAAATACATGAATGTTTTTTGGGTAGAAATTAATTTTAGATCATTTGCTTATGTGATTATACTCTATATAAACAAATTAAGGTATAAAAGTAACTTCTATCCCACATCTATTTATTTTCTAAGGTCACTTATCTTTATCTTTTTCAAGAATTTTGTTATTATTTGGAATACTTTGTTGCCATCATCTTTTGAAAAAATATTTCTTATATCTTATCCTATAATAATAATGATGCTAATTTAATGAGCATAATAATAATAATGAGCTAAATTAAAAATATTTTTGTATAATTGAGCTAATGATTTATTCTAGTCTGTAATGGAGACAAGCTGACGACACTACTCATAATGCATATTGTTACAGTGCAGTTTTTCTAAATTTATTTTTAAAAGTTTATGAATGGCAATTCATAAATACTATATTAAACATTGTTAAAATTTCACTTTTCTTTAATCAGTTGACATGGATATTTTAAAATTATTGTCACTAATGTAATGTTGATATGTAGGGCTCTAACATATCTGAATAGACCTCCTGAAAAATTCCTGGTGTTTTGTTCATATTCAATTCCAGGTCCCCTGAGTGATAGGCTGCCACCCTAACCACTCGTCTATGCAGTTTAATGGTAAGGATTAAGGCATTGTTCCTCATTTCTCACTGATATTGGCCAGTTCCATTGCTGATCAAGTCCCTCCAGGTGGCTATTGTAAACATGGCTACGCACACGTGGCTCGACGTGATTGATTAAATGTATGATGCTATACAATTTTTTTCACATTAAATATACTAATTTACTATAAAAAAATGATGGACTCACTTTTTAATACAATGACATAAGATTGTATCATAGTTGCTTCATATAATAGGAATTTATAGGTATATGTGCAGATGATAATGATGGTCACTAAATACAGTGTTATATATTACACAAGGTAATAATGTAATTTAGTAACTAGTTGACTATATAGTTACTTTGTTTTTATAAAAGTACTATCTGGAAATAGAAAAACAAAACAGAGTGGATTAAACTGATAGTTCTGTTTTCATTCCATCCTTATCACCTGTACCTGGTGCAAGAATTTGCATTTAAGCCCCCTAATTAATTAGATTTGGGAAAATAATAAAACAAATACATGCATTTTGGGCCCCCCTTCCAAGTGTGCCCTGTGCGGGTTTACCTGTTGCACCTGCCTAGTTACGGCACTGCTTATCACTATCACTAATGTCTCAGAATGCAAGTTTTGTCAAATTTTACATCCAACATATTTCAGTATCTGGGTGTTACAATTTTGAAGGAAAGCCTGTACTGCTAGTGAGGGTAGTGTATTAAAACTTTGTGTAGCCAGCACATTATGGCGTGAAATGAACTGGTAACTAGTGTTGCTGGTAATTGGTTGCAACCAATTACTAGTGTTTGCTGGTTTCAGCCGCTAATGGGCTACACTCTTAACATTTTTGTTTTCTAAATTTTCAACTTTTTGTGAAAATTCCTGCCAACTGTTTTAATATAAAGAGTAAAGTAATAGCATGGTTTAGGCCAAAGTTTTAAACGTGGAAACGTACCTCGGACGTTCAGCACTGCTTTCCTGTAGCCTAGAAGTTTGACAATGGTGTTTGGATAGTCAGTGGAATCATGCTCGACATTCCAAACACCATTGTCAAACTTCTAGGCTTACAGGAAAGCAGTGCTGAACATCTGACGTACATGTTTCGTGTTTAAAACTTCGTTTTCAACCTCACTAATAAGTAGTAACTTCGTGCAAGTGAAAACAAAACAAAAGCTTACATAATCATGTATCTTCTTTTGTGTATGTGCAAAATGTAGCAATATCTGATTGTGTTTGTTTGAATTTGACTACCAATTTGCAATATAAAAATTTAAAACATAATTGCTCAAAAATGACTAAAATGTTGAATCAGTTTACATAAAAATCCAGACATGTTTGTTCTGTGTAAGATAATAGATTATGTGAATAAACATTAAGGTAAATTAGAAGAGTAGTTGGAACTAAACATGTTAAGTATTAGTTTAATTACTAAATTGGGACAGTAATTGTCACTAGTAGTTAACTACTTTCCATCTGTAGTAGTTAGTTAAGAATAAACATTGTTTGACAACAATCAAGTGGAAAACATTTTATCACATTATTACATGATTACATACATAGAATGATTAAAGACAGTGTTAAATTTGTAAGAATATTATAACTGAAAATACATGAATGTTTTTTGGGTAGAAATTAATTTTAGATCATTTGCTTATGTGATTATACTCTATATAAACAAATTAAAGTATAAAAGTAACTTCTATCACAGATCTATTTATTTTCTAAGGTCACTTATCTTTATCTTTTTCAAGAATTTTGTTATTATTTGGAATACTTTGTTGCCATCGTCTTTTGAAAAAAATATTTCTTATATCTTATCCTTTTTAGTATTACTATTGCCATCATGAACAGAAATTTATTAATTAATGATGACTGTTGGCAGTAGGAAACTTATATAAGAAGCAATTCAAATTTTGATAGGATTTTTCTAATTTATAATAATGAGCTAAATTAAAAATATTTTTGTATAATTGAGCTAATGATTTATTCTAGTCTGTAATGGAGACAAGCTGACGACACTACTCATAATGCATATTGTTACAGTGCAGTTTTTCTAAATTTATTTTTAAAAGTTTATGAATGGCAATTCATAAATACTATATTAAACATTGTTAAAATTTCACTTTTCTTTAATCAGTTGACATGGATATTTTAAAATTATTGTCACTAATGTAATGTTGATATGTAGGGCTCTAACATATCTGAATAGACCTCCTGAAAAATTCCTGGTGTTTTGTTCATATTCAATTCCAGGTCCCCTGAGTGATAGGCTGCCACCCTAACCACTCGTCTATGCAGTTTAATGGTAAGGATTAAGGCATTGTTCCTCATTTCTCACTGATATTGGCCAGTTCCATTGCTGATCAAGTCTACAATTCAATGTTGTGTAAGAATCAAAACTCACTGGCTATATAGCCTTAATGGGCTTGTACAGTACCTTGTGTTGCTAAATCAGTCAAATCAATAATTACTACAGCATTAAAATTAAAATAACTAAAAATTGTAATTTTAAAAGAATATAAGTAATAGATATTTCTACTTTTTACCAATTGTAAATTAGAACTAAATTTGCTTAATTAGTATTTCAATTAAGACAAATATTTGGATGATGGGTGGCTAGCGGAGTGGTTAACAATAATTTGTTATACTTCAATAGAAAAAATTTAAACAATGTTACTGAATCTTTTGTAGTATATATAAAATTAATTTTATATATAATAATTTAAACAGATAGATATTTAATTATTTAAAATTAATTTTTGTTTGTTATCTCTGCAACAAAGGACTACTGTATTGTTAACATTTTAATAATTATTAATTGTCTCATATAATGATTATTTGCAAAATTTCTGAAGTCTGGAAATTTAAATAATGGATTCAAAAAGCGTTGTGTGTGCTCAAGCGATTGCTACTGTAGCATTAGTTGGAATTACTGGATATTACAGTTTCAGAAGTTTGCTTGGTAAAGAATTTCATCTTGTTCAATCATTTAATTTTTGATGTAAAAAATTAACCTTATACTTCGAAATTTAAAACTCTTAAATGATTCTACAATAAAAATCCATGCAGACTAAAATTTTATTTCTATGAGAGAGAGATAGAGAGAGAGAGAGAGACTTCCTTTATGTTAATACAGGAACAGAACATAGTATAAGTTTTCTCTATACATTAAATATCCTGAATTAATGTTATGTAATTTTATTGAATTTAATCAACAAAATTTTGAATTATTTACTAAAAAAAAGTAGGAACTGGTGCCAGATTTTTCACCATTGCCATTTGTGTATCGTTTAATTATTAAATTATAATTGCTAAAATGCATAATGGACACTTGTGTAAAAATATAAAATATATTTATTGAATTTCTAAAGAAATATTAAAAATAAATGTTAATTTTATTTGTATTAAATTTCATAATTAATTTAATTTTTCGATAAACCAGTCGGGAAAGGAAAACGTTACAATGCAGCAAAATCGATTCAGAAATGGGTTCGAGGTCTGAAAATTTTGACGCGCTTACACGAAAAGGTAATTTTTGCATTAATTATTACTATACTTTATTAAAGAACATTTATTAAAATTGTATGAAACAAAATGTTTTAAATTTATAATGTCCAAATAGCAAAATAAATAAAATAATCAGGTGGAATTAGATTAATTATACAGCTATAACTTGAGTAATATGTGTTGTTTTATCTTGATGGTTAATTGGGCTTTATCATTTGCTTATTATTATAATTTTTGATTGATCTTTTTATATAATTGATTAAAATGGTTCATTAATGTTTCAAAAACTTCAAATAACACATCAAAAGCTGCTTTATTGGAGTAAAAATGAAATAAATGCTAATTAAATAGTGTCATTTTGTATTTAAAGTGTTCCAGAATGTTTATTTATATCTGTTTTTAAATTTATATTTTATGTTATAGTCTGAAAGCACTTGGTAATTAGTATTTATTTCATTTTTTTCTCCATTAAAGCAGTTTTGAGATGTTAAATAAAACAGTTAAAAAAAAATCCAGGACACTAAAGTTCATTCAGAACATAAATGTATACTATCCAAATGGGATCTTCACTTGTCCTTTCTTAAACTAGTAACTAATCTAAAATGTACTGAGGGCTATGTTTGTGTTCCGAATGTTATCCAGTTACCAGTGGACATTTTGCCTTTACCAAATTTACTGATATTGTAGCCACAAATAAAAGGTTGATCCTCAGTGTAATTAGTTTCCAGTGTGAAAAAGGACAAGTGAAGATGCCATTTTGGATGGTCAGTTTTTATTAAAAGATTTTTAAAAAAATATCAACAATGACCAACAGATTTTAAAATTTTCATTCACCTGAACATGATGAACATAAGTTCATTGAAAACACTAGCAAAAGTAAAAAACTGTTAATGCCACACTCAGTATGTTTTTACTTCTGAGGAGGTCATAGAGCTGTACCTCTTGAGAAGGAAATCGTTTAAGTTGGTCACCGATTATATCCACGAGTAATGTTGTTGTTGTCATGCCAGAGGAATGAATACTGGATAGTAAAGAACTCCAATTGTCGTTGTCACGAGTTCCTTTTACATAAGTATATACAAGGGTTACAATTGCATTGACCACAGAAAGAATGTTCAGAGTGCATGGGTAAGTGAAAGTCTGAACAGAAACACGTTGACCCAGAAAAGTGAGTTAGCCTCATTCTTGATGTCACATAGGTTGGAGACAGTGATCAAGTGCACCGTTGCTAACTGTTGCACTTCCTTTTATTGCTAATGAGAAACTTTGTAAGAAATAATCTGTATTTTTTTTAAATAAAAATCAACACCTTTAAACTTCCAGCAAATCGTTTTTAAAATATTAAAAAACGATTTGCTGGAAGTTTAAAGGTGTTGATTTTTATTTAATGTGTGGTTCCAGTAAGGAAAGTATTTTATTTATTATGTATTTTTTTTTGCTCTTGAAGGTATTAGAGCTTTAGAGTAAATTTCAGATTGTTCAGTCTGATTTCTGTATTTGTGGTCCATCAGAAAGAACACCTTACCATTCATTTAACTCAGATCAAGTCTATTTACAACTATTTACAGTACAGTGATACCTTGACTTACGCTACCCTGACTTACGCGAACCCGGAGTTACGCGATTTTCAAATCTCGTCGATTCATCTTTTATTTGAGCACCATGCAACTCTTGATTACTCATTCCCTCCACACTGTCATTCAACTTACATGTTCGGATATGTTGCGCGGAATCGACACATAGCTACAATTTATTTTGTGTTATTTATTTCTGTGTTTGTTATATCTATGGAGACTCGAGAGACTCTATGTGGTGACTTCTTGTAACAACGAACGAATCAAAAGATGAGATAAGATTAACAAGAACATTTATTAGCTTACATACATCCAACTTGGATTTTACACACATTGAAAAATTATACCCCGACTTACACGAATTTGACTTATGCAGTTATCACTCAGTCCCACCTATCGCGTAAGTTCAGGGTATCACTGTATATACAACAATACTTATTGATTGCTACCAACAACATAGTCTAAAGCCTTGCTTTTATTCTGTCCTGTCCTGTTCACTTGGTCAAGTTGCCTTTTATCCAACTTCAAGATCTGAGGCTGTCTAATCTGGAGTAGGCTCAGCAGCTTTCTTTTGGGCCCCCTCGGTTGGCATACCTTTCTGAACTTGATCAGGATGACTACTGACCCTCTCCAGAAAATGGGTTTTGATGAGTGCAAACCTGAATCACTTTGTCTCTACTTGTTAGACCTCTTTGACGCTTAGTAACATTTAATAATGTCTAAATCAAAATTTTGAGCTATAATCTCAAGTTTGTCCACTCAAAATTTTGATTTAGATGTATTGTTTGAGTCTACCTCTCAAATATGCAGTAAGTTATAACTGAAATATGGATATAGTTTACAGTAGCTTATGGCAAAAGCATATAATTAAGTCCTGTCACTTTTATTGTTACACTAATCATATTGCTTTTTAATGCGATTTATACAGTATGTGAATGATAGAATGTACAGTACATCTTGTGTTGCATGGAACACATCTGATTCAAATTCTTTCTATGCTCTATGTGCTGTGAAGCATTAGAATAATGCTTTAATCTGCCATTACTCCTTGCATGGCAGCCACAATTCTATAGCTCCTGCAAATTACTCATTTCTAACAATTGGTTGTATATTGCATACCTCTCAGATAATAATTAACATAATTACAGTAATTTAAAATAGTAGAATTCATTTTGAAAGACTATTTTTATGAATTATTTTTCTCTTTTTTTTTTTTTTAGCATTTATACAGTTACAAAATTTGTTATGATTTTTCACTGAATTTACATTTTTTTTTCCTATGACACTTGTTAAATCATAAAAATTTAATATTTGTATTAAATGTGATTATTTATTTGTATAAACTACATTTTTAATTATTTTATACTGTTCCTTTCATGTCACTGCAGGAAGTATCAGCTACAAAAATTGAGGAATGGTGGAGAACAGTTTCGAGAAAGGATAATTTGTTGCAAGCAATTGAGACGAAAAATGAGCAGAATCAGAAATTTGCTTTTTCTTTACCATTTGTAACAAATGCCATTACAAATTTGAAACAGGTAAGAAATTTTTAAAAGTTGACCATTAGTTGTTTAAATCCACTAGTCACTATCCCAGCACACAACACAGGGAAGTTGAAATCATATTAAATTTGACCCTCCAGGTTTTTTGCAAATCTCAATGTTTCAACACCCCAAATTCAAAACTGTCAAAACATGAAAAAAATTCTGTGTATATCAGTGGCGTGCCATCCATGGAAGCTGTGGAAGTGCTGCTTCCCTTGTATTTTCTAAAATATAAATACATATTGTGCAGTTATTTTCATATTTTAATGTACTTTGAATTAATTAAAATTAATATTATATTAGAACTGCATTATGTACTTATTACAAATTTCTATACATGTGAAAAAATGATAAGATTGCTATTGTATATTCAAATATAAGTTCATGTATGCATATTCCCTATGGAAGCACTGTATTGTCGAATATGATACAGCTTTCATGGCTGAAATATTTTAATCGTGTAAAGCAGCCAGATTATACGCATTTGCACATGTGCTTTACAGAGCACCGACCTCATGTGGTTTAGCTCGTGGATGCTACACACCAAAATATCATATGTTTCCAATGATTCTATCCAGGACTGGCATAGCTTCCCTATCATCAAATGTCACCACACACCACTAGTGTATATGTATGTAACTCATATAAAAAGGGCATTGATGCTATTAAATTTTGGTGGTTAAAGGTCAAGGAGAGGAAATAGAGGGAGGTCATATGTTGTATCTCAAATGGAGTTGGACTTACCAGTTTCACTGTAGAGGGCAGATATTAAAAGTTTTACATATTGAGGTGGACCAATAGCCTCTAAGAAAAGGTCAACTCTGCCGTGGAGCTGTTAATATCCTCATGTGAGTGCAAATGGACACATTTTTATGTATTGTCTATATTAAGAAGAACACTCTATCAATAGTGGCAGTCCCATATATACGGATATATATATTAAACTCTATGAACTAAAGTAGAGCAATTCATGGTATTAATTTATTAATTGAGTGATTTAATGGAAAGTGTTGAAATAATAAAAANCAATAGCCTCTAAGAAAAGGTCAACTCTGCCGTGGAGCTGTTAATTTCATCATGTGAGTGCAAAAGGACACATTTTTATGTATTGTCTATATTAAGAAGAACACTCTATCAATAGTAGTGAAATGTAGTGGCACTCCTATATATACAGATATATATATTAAACTCTATGAACTAAAGTGGAGCAATTTATGGTATTAATTTATTAATTGAGTGATTTAGTGGAAAGTGTTGAAATAATAAAAATCTTCCTTCAAACACTGATTTAAAAATATTAATATTTTTCTTACTAAGAGTTGTAAAAGATTGATTATTTGCATATTGTAACTAGTATTTTGAACTAGTATTTTTATTTTTTTAAATATTTGTAATTTACTTTCATAAACAATATTAAAGTAAAGTATAGTTATTTCCTTGCAGTTTAATAAGCTTCAATATTTGCATTATTGTGCTTTTAGCTAGCAGTGCTCATTTTCGGGAATGTCATAATAACATTTCTGGATGCAAGTCGCAAATTATGAAAAGAATATGGTTTCCTAGGCAACCTTTTTCTTTTTAAACTGCCTTATTACCTTAGCCATTCAAGGTTTTTTATTATTATAACAGTCCTGAATACAAACATCACATGCTCATTAAAGTTCTAGAATACAAATAGTAAACCTTCTTAAACTATAAATTATATTTTTGTCATATGTACTATTTTTTGTTGATTCTTTCAATTGTTCAAGTTAATTTTTTTATTTTTTTTAATCTTTTAAACCTTTTATTCATAAGTATCATTCAGTTATATTGGTAAATTGATTAAACTTATTCTGTTTAATATTTTTTTCAGTTGTTGATAACAGGTATCATAGCAGATTGGTGGAGAAAATCTACTGTTAATAGTGAAACATATGCAGATAATGCAGAAGATATCTTAATCAAATGTATTGAAGATGTTGAATCTCAAAAGGTTAATATTTTATGTTAGTCTAATGTTTTTATTTTATTTTCTTAAGAGAAAATGAAAATTTTTTAGATGGAAAGGGTCTTTATTTAATACAGAAGGATCACCAACGTGCTTTATTTTCTTCTCGGAAGAATCATCCATAACACTTTCTTTAAACATGAATCAAATAGAATCTATTTTATTTATAGATAAGATTCTTAAATTATTAGCAGTAATGAAAAGTTTATACAAATTTCATAATAAGAGAGATATGTTTATACTATTGTATGTTTAACTAGCTGCAAGGACCCGCTTTGCTGGGTTTTTATTTGTATGTAATGTAGTTTTTTTTTTATATATAAAAGACTGTTTTTCTAAGTAATCTAGAATCTAGCTGCAAGGACCCGCTTCGCTGGGCAAAAAGTAACGATAGTGAAGATTAAGATAATTACATTATAGCTAATCTTATCCGTTTTCACAGAATGCAANTTATGTATTTTTTTTTGCTCTTGAAGGTATTAGAGCTTTAGAGTAAATTTCAGATTGTGCAGTCAGATTTCTGTATTTGTGGTCCATCAGAAAGAACACCTTACCATTCATTTAACTCAGATCAAGTCTATTTACAACTATTTACAGTATATACAACAATACTTATCGATTCCTACCAACAACATAGTCTAAAGCCTTGCTTTTTTTCTGTCCTGTTCACTCGGTCAAGTTGTCTTTTATCCAACTTCAAGATCTGAGGCTGTTTAATTTGGAGCTGGCTCAGCAGCTTTCCTTTGGGCCTCCCTCGGTTGGCATACTTTTCTCAACTTGATCAGGATGACTACTGACCCTCTCCGGAAAATGGGTTTCAACGAGTGCAAACCTGAATCACTTTGTCTCTACTTGTTAGACCTCGTTGATGCTTAGTAACATTTAATAACATCTAAATCAAAATTTTGAGCTGTAATCTCAAGTTTTTCTGCGCAAAATTTTGATTTAGATGTAGTTTACAGTAGCTTATGGCAAAAGCATATAATTAAGTCCTGTCACTTTTATTGTTACACTAATCATATTGCTTTTTAATTAATGTGATTTATACAGTATGTGAATGATAGAATGTACACTACATCTTGTATGCATGTGTTGCATGGAACACATCTGTTCAAATTCTTTCTATGCTCTATGTGCTGTAAAGCATTAGAATAATGCTTTAATCTGCCATTACTCCTTGCACGGCAGCCACAATTCTATAACTCCTGGAAATTACTCATTTCTAACAATTGGTTGTATATTGCATACCTCTCAGATGATAATTAACATAATTACAGTAATTTAAAATAGTAGAATTCATTTTGAAGGACTCTATTTTTATGAATTATTTTTCTCTTCTTTAGCATTTATACAGTTACAAATTTTGTTATGATTTTTCACTGAATGTACATTTTCTTTTTCTATGACACTTGTTAAATCATAAAAAGCAAAAACGTACTTACTCGTGCCTCTAACCGGTGTGTAGAAATACAAAATTTTGTATTTGTGTTGCATGGAAATTTTGTATTTCTACACACCGGTTAGAGGCACGAGTAAGTACGTTTTCGTTTATTATACACCCCAGTGTGCACGAAGAAGTTATAAATCATAAAAATTTAATATTCTTATTAAATGTGATTATTTATTTGTATAAAATACATTTTTATATATTTTATACTGTTCCTTTCATGTCACTGCAGGAAGTATCAGCTACAAAAATTGAGGAATGGTGGAGAACAGTTTCGAGAAAGGGTAATTTGTTGCAAGCAATTGAGACGAAAGATGAGCAGAATCAGAAATTTGCTTTTTCTTTACCATTTGTAACAAATGCCATTACAAATTTGAAACAGGTAAGAAATTTTTAAAAGTTGACCATTGCTTGTTTAAATCCACTAGTCACTATTTACTTTTACTGTCCCAGCACACAACACAGGGAAGTTGAAATCATATTAAATTTGACCCTCTAGGTTTTTTGCAAATCTCAATGTTTCAACACCCCAAACCCAAAACTGTCAAAACATGAAAAAAATTCTGTGTATATCAGTGGTGTGCCATTTGTGGAAGCTGTGGAAGTGCTGCTTCCCTTGTATTTTCTAAAATATAAATACATATTGTGCAGTTATTTTCATATTTTAATGTACTTTGAATTAATTAAAATTAATATTATATTAGAACTACATTATGTACTTATTACAAATTTCTATACATGTGAAAAAAATGATAAGATTGTATATTCAAATATAAGTTCGTGTATGCATATTCCCAATGGAAGCACTGTATTGTCGAATATGGGACAGTTTTCATGGCCAAAATATTTGAATCGTGTAAAGCAGCCAGATTATATGCATTTGCAAATGCGCTTTACAGAGCACCGACCTCGTGGTTTAGCTCGTGGATGCTACACACCAAAATATCATATAACACTTCCAATGATTCTATCCAGGACTGGCAAAGCTTCCCTATCATCAAATGTCACCACACACCACTGGTGTATATGTGTGTAACTCATATAAAAAGGGCATTGATGCAATTAAATTTTGGTAGTTAAAGGTCAAGGAGAGGAAATAGAGGGAGGTCATATGTTGTATCTCAAATGGAGTTGGACTTACCAGTTTCACTGTAGAGGGCAGATATTAAAAGTTTTACATATTGNTTTTTTTTTTTTTTTTTTTTTTTTTTTTTTTTTTTTTTTTTTTTTTTTTTTTTTTTTTTTTTTTTTTTTTTTTTGAGAATTTCAGATAGTTTTCAAATAAGACTAATACTAATCATGCAAGAAAAAGGTTGGGAACTCCATTTCTGTAAAATTATAGTTTAAATATATAATTTAGATAATAAAGATACTAGATGGTCAGTGTGGTTAAGGCATTAGCTTACCATTCTGGAAAACCCAGGATCAATTGTTGATTTATTGAGAAAATGCTTTATTGATAAAATATTTCAATCAAAATTACATTGAAGTAATAGTTAATGACTGTTAATGGTCTTCAATTTGTAGCCATTAAAATTCAATTTAAGTTTTCAAAAAGTGTTTTGAAACAGACCTTGTCAGATTCACTAAGCTCACACTAATTTTGCTATTATTTTGAATTTTAATTGATGCTTTATACTTGAAAATTATTTGTATAAATATGTCTAAAATCTTCCAATTGGGCATTACTGAGGTACTTTGGGAAATTAAATTCTTTTGGAATAAAAGATAATACCACTTTTTCCAACTTATAACTGGGTATTTTGAAATATTCTATCTTTACTCTTATAAAATATAGATTTTACAATACAGAATTAAAGAAGGAAAACAATGATATCAAAATTGTTCCCAAGAAAATAGGTAGAAGTGACTAAATTTAGGATAAAAGATATAGGAAATGAGTTTTATAGGATTTTATTGATGAAAATGGGAATGGAAATCATTGACAAAGGTTTCAAAATTACCAAAGAAATGTACATAACATTCATTCAAATATTCCTCAATACTTATAGGCTAATATTAATTAAATAATTATTTGTTGGAAATAATTTTGGAATCATTATTTGCTTTGTTTAATTCTGTGTCAAATGAACTATAGAGTAGGATGTCCCAAAATACCCAGTTGTCAGCAATTGAAGCTTTTGCATAGTAGGCTGTAGCATCATAATGCCAATAAGATATATTTCTTTATTAAAGAAAATTATTAATAAATGCTAATAATTTTCTTTAATTAATAGTAATCGTTCATGTATATAGTTTTTATGGGCCCATTTCAGGAAAAGAAATATAGCTTTCAATGATTTTTTTTTTGCTGATTGTAAACCAAATGCATGGTTTTTAAATTTCAATGAACAATTTTTTGTCGTTGTGGGTATGAAAATCTTCTAAATTTACTGTTTAAATTGTTTACTAATTGGTTTATTTAAATTATTTGTGGACAAGTATACTTATAAGAAGTTTAAATACACATATTTAGAACAAATGCTAAAATCTCTAGTTTTGATAATAGTTCATTTACTCTTTCAATACATTATCATTTAAGTCAGATGAATACAAATGATTATGTTAATGTGATATTTAAATATTCATACTTACATTTAAATAACAAATATTCAATATACTTCATTGTTTAACTTACAGAAACTTGTTGAGGCAGAATACTCTTAGAATTTATGTAAAGTAAATCACTGTTAACAAAACAGAATGGTTTATTTATTTGTATTGTGCTTAAAATATGTTTAATTTATAATGTGATATTTAATTTTATAGAAAAACGATGTGGAAGAAATTGCCAAATGGTGGCAAACAGTTGTCGACGAATATAGATTGTCCGTGAAAGACTTACCATTAGATGTAGGATGTGAATGTAATGTTAATAAAAACAGCAAAAAAGAATTTGGCGAACCAGTTAACGAGTTGAAAATTAAAGAGCAAGTTCCGACTGATTATGGAAGTCATCTTAGATGTCTGGAAGTATCTGAAAACAAAACCAATAATGTAAGTCAAGTCAAGCCAAATATACTGTATATTATTAACTAAAATTTGTATATTTTATTCTAACTTATAATTTATTTTGAATTAATTTGTTGAAAGTGCTGTATTATATAATGGAATAGATGTTTAAATTATAAAGCTTTAAATAAGATATTTTTATTAATATAAAGATGAATGCATTTACACTGTTTTATTCTAACAATTATCTGTAATGCAGAAAATATTTAATTTTAATTTGAATGCTGTTTATTATGCACGAAATCAATATTGAAATATTTGAATATGGTTACATTAACTTGTTGTTCTACACCGAGTTAACATAACAAGTGCAAAATGATCAAACTACAAGACGGATGTGATAAAATAATCTTATATCCTACTTAACAAGTTATTTTACCATTTCTATGCATTTGTAGCTAGAACTATTTTAAGATGATCAATACAAAACCTTCCTCACTTGTTTCTAGCCGTTTAGACACGAGTATGAACGTTTTCGGCCTTCTTAATAGGACTTCTTCAGGTACACTGTGATCTGTTAGAGCGTCGGTTGGTAGTGCAGCGTTTAAACTTCTATCAATCGACGCTCTAACAGATCACAGTGTACCTGAAGAAGGCCTATTAAGAAGGTCGAAAACATTCGTACTCATGTACAAACGGCTAGAAACAAGTGAAAAAGGTTTTGTATTGATTACTTTACCATTTCTGTACACCTTGAATAATGATTCTAATAAAATAAAGATAATATTTAATGTAATAAAACTTGTATTTAAAGAATAAAATTATACTTTGTGGAAACAAAAGTATAGTTCATTATTTAATTTTAATGTTAATAAAAGTATATGAAGTGATAACAATAGTATCATTACAGATTGACATCGTTAATGTTGAAATCTTAGAAAATCAAGAATCGAAACATCTTCAACCGAGTAGCTGTTGGTCTGAATGTGCTTCATCTAGTTATAGAAAGAACAGTAGCAGCGAATCTTCTACAGAAGGAAGCTCACTTGTGGAAATACCATTAAAAAAATGTTCTCCAGTGTTTTCTTTATTTGGAGAAAATGCAATCATAAATCAAAATGAAAAACTGAAAGAAGTGGAAGAATTTTCAGAACCCAGGATAGAAATTATTCAGGATTTTAAATTTAATTCTCTATCTGAATCATCAGATAATGAATTTAAAGATGATATCTTACAAGCAAGAGATAATTTTGGTGATGATGATTTTTTCAAATCATGTACAGAGAATAATGTAAGTGAATAAAGCTGTTCTTTTATTAATTACAAGGGAGGATTAATAGATAAGGTAACAAGTGGATTTCTGAACATACCCTTCTTAGTAGAAATGTGAAATTATGACAGTAAATATGCATAGGTGAGAACACTATGTTTCCACATAATCACTGGATTTGTCCAAGCACTTGTTTCAGTTCAGTGGGTGATTATCGATGCATCCATTCCATCAGAAAATAATTTCGTGTCATGACTTTTCAGTTTGATGATTGTCTATTGTTCTCTCTACTCAATTGGAAATTGTCGCCCTTGAAGATGTTTCTTTCAGGGCCCCAAAGAGATGGAAGTTATAGGTGCCAGGTCCAAGTTACAGAGTCTTGATGCAAAATTCTTCTCTGATGGATTGAATGCATTGATTACTTGGTGGTACCTGCTTGGATAAATTTGGTGATTAAGTGAAAACATAGTATAACTTTTATAACAGTAAAGGTATAGATCTTACACCAATATTTTGGACTCTGAAATCAATCACAGTAACAAATATTTTGAAAAGTTCGCAATATTGGTGTAGATTCTGTCACAGGTTGTACCTTTACTGAAGGGAAATTGACTAGAATTCCAATCTGAAATACATTTATCATATCATTAGTATCTAGTACTTGCTCGAGAAGTCAGTAAGATTTTATATTAATAATAATTTTATTATTATTAATAATTTACAGTTACTATTAGTGATTTTTATTTACTTTGCATGACTGATTCTTTTATAATATTTTGATAAAGTCAATTAAGTAATTAGAAATTTATCAAACAAAGTTATTACTAATAATAATAACAATATCATAATTATATGTTTTTGTATAAACATTCTTAAACATCTGATTTAAAAGTATCTGAATTTATTTGTATAATTTGAGATGTTGCATTAGAGAATATGATTGTTACAATGCCAATTGTGTTCTATAACATAGCTTTTTTATAAATGTAGTCTTTATATATATAGGATATTCAATGGATTTTAGCACTTTTAAAATTTAACTCTGATAATTTTAAAATATTGATGTGTTAATTAGCTAATTTTATTTTGTTTTTATTGGTTGTTTTCTTGGCTAACCATCTAATAATGGACATCTTATAAATTTCATTTTAGAAATACCTTTAAAATCTAAAATACATTTAATGTAATAGCTTAAAAAACTTCAGATGAATATAAGAAAAAAAACCTAGTTTAACTCAAGAAATCAAATCCTTAATATTTCTGCTAAGGATCCTATTGTTTTCTAAATTTAAATGTCTTGATAAAGTAGTTTTGATACACAGTTATAGTAATTTTTATATATATTTTTAACTATATTAGATTTAAAACAGGGTTTATTTGATATTTTGCCTCTGAACTAAGACTCTGAAAATGGGTAACTTGTACAGGTTACCCATTTTCAGAGTCTTAATAAAGTCTTCACCCGTCATTTGAGTGTCATTGATACTATCAATGAGTTATATTATATTAGAGGTGTGTCTCTTGCACGCAGTTTCCAGAAGAATATGGTTGAAAAGTTGATCACAATATATAAGAAGGTTAAGTTTAACACCCCTACTTTGACTAAGAGTGAAAAGAAATTACTTTTGGTGACATACAACAAAGATCTGGATTGTTTTCTGTGATTTCAAGCTAACCAAGAATATAGTGATAGCAGGAAATCTTAAGAAGAACCTGATGTGTTTAGGGCTAGAGTTGCTGAAATTCTGCAAATTTATAAGCCATTACTGTTGGAGGCATTAATAGGAAGAGTGCTGATATACTTCACTCAATCTGGAAGTTTCTCTTTTAAGGAGAACTTCAATTTGACTTAATTCTGTACCATTTATTACGTACTTTCATTTTATTATTGTTAGTTATAATATTTCAATTATTTTAATTTTTTGATGTTTGTTAAAATTTTCATTTTGATAAGCTGTTATTATTCATTTTAATTCTATTTTAACTGAAATGATTTAATGTTCTAAATTAATTATATTTTTTTCTAAGTGTAAGATGCTTTCTATAAAAAACATTTATAGTCAGCAGTAATTCTTCTACTTTTCTCCAGTATTCAAGTAAATGTTTTTGACTATAATAATCTAAATCAGATGATTATGATTGCTCAGCCTTTGTCTTCTAGGATGAAATCATGGCAGAACAAATCACATTAAATTCTTCCATTTTTACTGCAGAGCTGCACGCTATTTATTTAGCCTTAACACATGTAATCAGGAAAGGTCATTGTTGCTGTGTGGTATACACTGACTCAGTTAGTACACTTCAGGCTTTGATGTCGTGTGATTCTAGTCCTCATTCCACAGTGATCAAAATTCAGAAACTAATTTGCCATCTTACTGCAAGTAATTTTTGTCTAAAATTTTGTTGGGTTTCAGGTCACGTGGGTATAAGAGGGAATGAAGAAGCTGACACAGCTGCAAAGTCAGCAAGTCTTCCACAGCATGCAATGCCTATTGAGGGAAGCGATTTGACACTGGTCATTAAAAAACGACTAGCAGAGATATGGCAAAATATGTGGAATTCACAAGTCCACAATAAACTACACGAGATCGGAACCTATCATAGAAAATTGGACACATAATAAACAGTATGATAAGAGATCTGAGGTCATTCTTACTTGTTTGAGAATTGGACATACTCAGTTGACTCATCAATACCTTTTGAAGGGTGACGATAGCCAGTATGCCAGTATTGCAGTTATACTTTAAGTGTTAAACACAATCTGTGCAATTGCTTTGCATTCGAGTGGATTCGTAGACAGCGTTTTGGAAATGCAAGTTTGACAGAGATTCTGGGCCAGAGGCCAAATCTAGATAAGTTATTGAACTTACTGAAAGTCACAAATACAGTAGAGCATCGATTTTCCATCTCAATTGAGGACTGGGGTTGGTTGGATAACCAAAAAATATGAAAAAATACATTATTAGTATAGTATATTAGTATATCCCGTGTAATTAGTATATTAGTGTATTGCTATTAACCTACTTTGCGTTGAATGTTCATCAATGTTAAACGTAACAAAAATTTTTTAAAATAATAATCGTCGCTATTGTATCATTAAAAATTAGAAAATTAAACCTCGTTTAAATACTGGCTCCCTTTTATGGTCGAGCCAGTGTTGCCAGCTAAAACACGTAAAAATATTATTAAAGTAGCCAAGACATAGCCAAATATTGTTGCGCCACATCACTAGCAGACATTTGAATTTGCCTACTAGAACGCGGTCGGTTAACCGATGTGACGGTTGATTGGGGTCGGATAATCGATACTCTACTGTATTTATAAACATATTTAATTTTTATTTTTATATACCTTGTTGTTTGTTCATTTGTACTGTTTATGTGTGTTGTTGTTTTGTGAATTTATTTTATTTCATTTTATTTATTAAAAACTTTTACCATTTGACATGGTGCAACTTAGCCTAAATGGCACTTGCACCAAAAAACCCAAACCGACTAACCAATCGACTATAATGACTATAAATGTTTTATATAGAAAGCAGTGTATACTTACAGTAAAATATAATAACTGAAAACCTAAACCTCTGTGTAATTAATTTTAAGTTAATTTATTTGGTGGCCAGATGGCTGAAGTAGTTAAAGAATCATCTTATTCCACTGGGCAATCTGGGATTGAATCTGGGTTAGCAATTCCAGGAATTTTTCATGTGTAGACTCTCCCAGATATATTGGGCTTCATCTCTCACCACTCGGTGTCCATGGTAGAAAGAGTAAAAAATTAATTTATATACATCTATCTAATTATATGAGAAAATTATACAGAGAAAGAAAAGCCAATTTGCATATTTACTGCTGTAGATTATTTGTATTAAATGTTTCTATAAATAAGTTTTATATTCAAAATTATATAATTGTTATTTATAGGAAATGAGAGTAGAAAGTATTTACAGTCAACATCCATTTGGTGAGAATATCTCAATAGAACATACTGATTTGGAAAAGGTAATAATAATATAATAAGATTATTATTATTATACAGTAGAGTCTCGAAAACTTGGCCTAATGTGGACCGAAGGTTGGCCGAGTTTGTGAAAATGCCGGGTTATCGGGAATGGGGTTAAAAAAAATAAGTATGAGTGTTTCCTCAGAAAATACTGTACTGTACTTGTATGTATTGTTTACTTGAGAATACAACAGAGAATAAACTGCCCAAATACCCTTAAACAAAGGAAAAGTACGTCTTTTATGAAGGCATAGAGCCTTTACTACATGAAAATGAAAATTAATGAATACACTGTGTACAGTAATTTACCTGATAAGACAGAATACTTTATGAGGCATAAGCCTGTCTATAATGAAAATTAATTAACTAAGGATTTTTTTGCCCTGCCAGGGTGTGGCCGAGTTATCCGGACTGCCGGGTTATCGAGTGCCGAGTTTTCGAGACTCTACTGTATAAGGATAAAATTACATACAATTATTTATTGTAAAAAAGAAATTTGAAGACTAAAATATTTTCCTTTTAAATTCATGTTTTTGTAGAAATGATGTTGATATATCAAGTATTGCTAATCTCTTTAGCTATTTATTTATTTTTCAAGTTAATTTAAAAGTTAAATATTATTAAGAATATATTAATTTTGCTCTAAATTCTGTACAAATAAAAAAAGATTTATTATATTTGATGTTTTATAATTGTTTCTTGAGTGTCAAGATGAGTTTCGAGAAAATCTCGAAGAATATTCTTCAAGAAGAAAAGCGGAATTCTTTTAGCATAAAAGCAACTAATGTTTAAATCACAATTTGTGGGAAGATATCGTTGTCAGTTTATTTATGAGAGCTCTCATTGTTTTTGCTTTATTAAGATCATATACTTTTCCATTCACTCATATTAACCAGATAAAAGAAGAAACAACCAGTGCTACTTAATAATATTCTTAGAACTAGTCAAAATCCAGTACTACATTATTGACTCAAGGAATAACAATTATTACATATAATGTAAAATTACATATAATGTAAAATGTAGAATGGATTAATCATTTTTACATTATTTCTTATGGGAAAGGTTGGTTCGGTATACGTCCTACTCGGTATAAGTCCAAACTTCGGGAACGGATTAACGTCTTATACCGAGGTTCCACTGTATATATATATAGATTACATTCTCACCTGGTAGACATCCCCTCCATTATTTATCACCCCATCGCGTCTGTTTTAGAACAAGTGTTTTCCTTTCTATCGAGTCTACCGCACCGACACGTGTTCTTGGTCCGATTTAACTTGAAGTTCCCCACTTAAAATTTTTNATATAATGTAAAATGTAGAATGGATTAATCATTTTTACATTATTTCTTATGGGAAAGGTTGGTTCGGTATACGTCCTACTCGGTATAAGTCCAAACTTCGGGAACGGATTAAGGTCTTATACCGAGGTTCCACTGTACTACAAAGCACAACTCACAAGTAATTGAAACACATGAATATTGGAATTTTATCTATATTTTTCCTCTGCATCACATGTCTGATCCATATTACACTTATATTAAAGAAGGAAAGATGGAAGATTCTGAGATTTGGTTTTAAATATGGTCTGTACTGTTTTTCAGATTTTTTTTTTTTTTTTGCATTAATAAAATCAAAACCCTGTGTAAAATGGAAACTTGCTTAAATGGAAACTGGCTTGTACTATTCCATTCCATTTTAGACAGATTTTAATGCAATAACTATAATAATTTAATATAGTAATTAAAAATACCGTATATCAAGTATCTCAGTCATTTTCATTTAATTTTAAATCATTACTAAAATTAAATTATTTTCAAATATTATTTTAAATTATCTATAAGTTTTTATTTAGTTTTTTTTATTATTTAACAGGAAATAGCAAGCAAAAAGTTGCAGAAGTTTTGGAGAATAACAAGAGAGAAAAAAGATTTTCAAATGAAATTGGCAAAGATTTCTCATATTAGCATCACTACGAAGAAATTTCTGTTACGCAGAAAACTTATGGTCGAAAGAGTGAGCATTATTTAATTTATATTATTTTAGTTAGTTTATATCCTTTAAATTTGTAATTTTGTGATTTGATGTTTAATAAAACCTATAATTTTAATTTTTTGATTCTTGAAAGACCAGAAATTATTTGTTTTTACAGTAATTTTCTATGATCTTTTTAAAAATTTAAACATTAAAATAACATGTTTTTGACATCGAGTAAAAGTGATTGAGATATGTAATCCTATGTCCTCGATCATGAGTTGCTTTGTCTGTCTCTTTGTATTTAATAATCTACTTGTGAAAAACACCAAAACATTAAATAATTAAATAAAAATTTATTGATGTAATTAGTTGTCTCCAAGCTTTGGCCCCCTCAAAAATTTTTTGCAGATGCCCATGGAAACAGACAGGGCATTTTGCATTCTGTAGTTTGCAAAGTTGGAATCCCTCATCATTGTACAACATGAGTAATCTGTGGGAAGTGTAGAATTAATACTGCCACGGAAGAAATGACAACAGATATGCCATAGCCAGCTTAGGAAGATTCAGATGTGTGCCATGTGACTGAGAAATTTTAATGGGCAAATGATAAACTTGGACAGTTTTCCAACGTTTTAATATACATTACAATGTTTTTGGATAATAATTAACATAATTACAATAACTTAAAATGGTCACATTCTTTTTGGAAAACTGTACTTACAAGAAGGTGTGTAGTCACTGCAGAAGAGGCAGCAAGACTATGCTTTTTTCGAAAACTTCATAATTCGACTGTGCTTCTTGCACATGAAGAACTATCCATAGGACAACCTGCCACTACGAATGTTACTTCCATATTAACAATAACATTGTTTTGAAACATTCTGTATATAGAAACATGAACAAATAACAATAATTAGAATTTCATTACATTTATAAAAGTATTTTTATTAATATTATGTCACGTATAGACGATAATTTGTTTTCTAAATTGATAGGATTTTGCATGTCTAAAGCTTCAGACTTTGTGGAGAATGATACAGGCAAAACAAAATTATCATGATTTATATAAAAGTGCAGTTATTTGCATAAGTGCTGGAAAGGGATTCTTGATGAGGAAAAGATATTATTCTTTCTTTTTGCTTGCAAAAAAGGTATGCGTTTTTCTCTAAATTATCTCATGAAGCAATATGAGTAAATTTAAAAAGCAAATAATTCGATTAAGCAAGTAATTCTATTAATAAACACTTTTTTAATAGAAGAAAACATGCAGGAAATTGCAAATATGGTGGAAGAACTTAATGAATAGAAAAACCTCAATTAAAATAATATTACTACAGGCACTTGGAAGAGGATTTCTGCAACAGAAACTTCTTAAACAAAAATTAGTAAGTAATGAAGTCAAAACTTATTTAAAATAATTATTTTTATAGTGGAACAATTTTTATTTATTAGTTACACCTGTATTAATAATCTTTAATTAATCGCATGAGGCAATTTTGTTGTGTATATTTGAAAATTCAGTATAAACAATGAATTAAAGCAAACTGTTTCTTATATGACCAGCTATAATTCCACACATTATACATAGACCTGAGATGTAATAGATGGGTGAAGGATGAGGAAATAATATCTCAATTCATACAGTTTATGATAAATTATAGGGGATTAGACTGAGTTCAAAACTTGGATTTTTTACTATGATACAATAATACTTGAATGAGCAAAACGTTTAATGTTTTAATAATCAGTTCTTATCATAAATTTCTAATGATGAACAAATGGATATCATAAAAACTTATGTAGAAGATGACCAATCAGCCAAGAAGATTGACGTCAGCTTACTTCTCTGAGAGACTCTTAATTGAATTAGGGTGGTTGAACAACTGTAGGAATTTTATCCTAGATATACTGTCCCTGTCTCTAACCAGCTGATCATCTCATTGTTGGTCTGGCTGAATCCAAGATGGGTATAGTAATATGATTAACTTCAATTACTCTTTTAACAATAGATTCTGATATTTTAATGTTAATTTACTATTAATTTAGTAGTATTTAGTAATAGGGAGAATCTATGAAATAATAAAATAGAAATTTTCAATTTCTTGTCGTTCAAAACATTATCTTTCTGCATATAGGAATCATTAAAATACTTTTTTCCTGTAAAGGAGTGAATGCTTTTAGATTTCTCTATCCATCTTCACAGCTTAAATAAAAAAAAATCAAGTTCAGTTTGAATTTCCTACCCTATTAGAATCATCATCATCATTATCACTGTCCATGAGAGTAGTGCCTCTTGGAACCTGATGCCATTTTCACCATTCTTTTCCATCCCTCTCTGTCTAGGGCACAGTGAACCAGCTCCTGAATACTATTCTTGCACCATTCTTTTACATATCCATCCATTCCCTGTATGGCCTGTGTCTTTTATTTGTCTCTTCCATGATTCTAAGTGTTATAGTTTTAATTACTTTCTTGTCACTCATTCTACAGATGTGACCAAAAAGGCCAAGTTTCCTTTGAATGACCTGTTGGAATAGTGTTTTCACTAGTTGGATTCATTTTCAGACTTCATCATTTGCAACTCTGTCATGCTAATCTACTCTGAGTAGCTACCTATCACATTTTCTTTCAAAGGCATCTAGTTGTCTTCTGGTTTATTGGTGTAAATCCCATGCCTCACAGATATAGAATATACCAGTAAAGATGCATGCATCTGTGCCATTCATATTAGAATATCTCTTCAAATCCAAATGTGACCGTGTATGCATTTGTTCTAAAATTGTTTATAATTTAATCCTCTGTTGTTTCATTTCCAACTTTTCTGTTTTCCATTTTTTATTTCTTACTATCCATTTTCATGTGGATGATGATGTGTCTACATCCATTAGTATAATCAGAGACTCTCTGGGCCCATATACCTTTATAAATAAATTAAGAAAACATCATATAAGAACAGGGAAAAGATTTGAATATGACAAATGCAGTTATGCTTATGTATAAACAAAATCTTTATCCACAGCATTAGTTACTAATCTACAGGGGTGTGCTTGTTAACACAGTCTAATGTGGGCATCTCTCATTACAAAAGAGAAAAATATGTTTAATTAGTTCCAATTGGAAAGAGCTTTTTTGTTTTTAATCATAAAGAAATACTGAAATCAAAACAAAAATATTTAAAATCATGATTAACTCCAAAGACGAAAACCAGTAACGAAAACAATTTAATAACTGAGCTAATGTTTTTGACCCTGTTTAAAGGTCATCTTCTTAAGATAGAACGAAAACAACTTACTGGATTTGAGTGTATTTGGAGTTAAGTATTAAGATTTTACATAGTTCTTATAATGTTTATTATTACTGTATTTAAAGGAAATGTTAAGTGTGTTTATATATATAACTAATTTTTAGAGAGAAAATTATATCAGTAAATTAAGTGAACAGTATGAAGAGGAAACAGCCAATATTATGATCATTCAGAAGGTTTTGAGATGTTGTTTAACATGGTTTGAAGTAAAAGGAGATATTATGGAAATGTCAAAAGTGAGTATAATGACATAATTCCTAAAAGACATTTAAAAGAAATTTTATAACAGGAGATCTGAAGTTATTATTACTCGTTTGAGAATTGGACATACTCAGTTGACTCATCAATACCTTTTGAAGGGTGACGATAGCCAGTATGCCAGTATTGCAGTTATACTTTAAGTGTTAAACACANTCTATGCATGATGGAAGAAAATTTGGGAAATTCTATGGAAGAAATTTTGAAAAGAAAAAAGTAACTTAATTTGAACATTATTTAATATTTTTCATACTTTATTATGGTAATTAATTCTTTAATTTTTCAATTTAGGTACAGATGCACGCCATTTTAATAACAGAGAATAAGTATATTTTATAATTAAAAGAAAGCTAATATAAAAAAACTTTTTAAGTCAAAATTGTTTAATTAAATAAAATCTTTTAAATGTAATATTTTTGTCTAAATATATTCACTCTAAAATTGATAAATGGTATTAAATAAAACTTAATATAAAGATGGTGCTTGATTAACTTTTGTTGTTTTATACATTACTTTTTTAAGAAATAATTTAATTAATTATTGAGTAGAAGATAACAGATTAACACTAGAATGACTATTGGAATTATTTTGACCCTTAAATGCAATAAATTAGGTTATTAGTAATATAGTTTTTATTTTTAGGTGTTGAGGGTTTGCGACTTTTCAGTACTGTACAAACTGGATAATGAAGAGACAGAAGTAATCATAAAACTTTTAATACATATTACAAAATTTAGAACATGATATGTCCTTTGTTGCTACTCTCTTAGACATGCAGAAATCTGGAAAAATCATGCTTCTTCACTTCTTGATCCTGCAACTACATTTGATCACACTTGCGATCATCTTTGCGTTAACAAATGGAAAAGATCAAATAAATAAGGAAAAGGTCCTGAGATGTAACCACACCTACAGACAATTCTAGATTCAGCAGATACCTAATAGATCAACTAATAGATGAACAGAGATTAGATTAAAAGAACACAAATATGACGTCCTTAAAGACAATTACATCACTCCCTTAGCCAAATATATGAGTAAACCTGGAGTGTCCTGTTGTTTGGAGAAGCCAAATTGATAAAAAAATATTTGATGTACAGAACTTAAGAATAATACAAGTCATTAACATTCTGTAAGGCAGCAATCGAAGGGTTTTGCATTAACAATAAAGAAAGCCTTAACATGTCCCAAGCTTGGCAATCTTTACTCTCTAACCTTATTTCTAACAAATGATAAGATATCACAAACAGTCCGATTCTGTGCGATTAAGATTTATTATAATTTAATTTATGAAATTTAGAACTTAGTATAGTTTTTTTGTCTTTGAAATGGCTTCTAACTTGAGGCAAGTCTGTAAGTTGGGCCAAATAAGTTTGTTCTGTGTGTAAAGTTTATGCTGGAAAGTATGAAAGGGGTGTTTATATGGTTCTAATATATCCATAATCTGAAACAGATATGAATGAAAGTCTTCTTAACTATACAATATTTGAAATGGATAAAGTCAGTTTTAAGTATAAGGTAGAAGTTACTGTTGGAGTTGAGATAGAAATAGCCAGCAAACAAACAATGATGTATCAATATCTGCCGGATTAGGTCATGATTAGAGTTGAGGAAGGAGAAATACCCACATGCAAAAAGTATCAGTAGCTGAAGGAAAATATATGCCACCTAACTTCACTATTTGAATCAGAGTTTGCAGTTGGCAGAACTTCAGTAAGACCATGTTGGGATAATAAAGAAACTGTTTAAGTGTTGATAGCTGAAAGCAAAGAGCGTAAGTCTAATATGAGATTTTTCAAGGGTAATGAAACTACATACTCATGCTTGTAATGCAGAAAGTTTACTTGTGCAAAGTTAACTTTCTGTTGAATAGAATATATGTAAGAACATTGTACATAAATAAGCTTTAAAAGGAAACTTTTTAACTCATGTCTCCTTAAAGTCTTTTGATGTGTAAACATAGAACATTAAAATAAATTGTTTCTATGGTAACATGAAAAATTCTTAAAAAAAATAAAAGGACTGAACAAATAATTTAATTAATACAACATGTTTGTAGATGTGAGTTTGATTTTCATGCTTTATTTAATATGTACATTTTCCTTCTACATAAGAATATCCCTCTTAATCAAATGATAACATCAGATTCACTGGATCTTAGCTTGGATAATGAAAAATATATAGTAGATGTAAAATAACACTAGCATTATTATTTGTTACACTTTGAACATATCTCTCTCTGTTCTCATGTTAATTTTTTTTTTTGTATCTGTTCTTTAATTTAAAAAAATTTTAAGTAACAAATACAAAAAATATATATATATATATATAACATTTTTATATTCTCTCTTTCCTCATATTTTTGCAGCTATTCCAACAATGTTATGAAAGGAACATTGCAGAAAGTAATTAGTCAGATAAATTTTTTTTTTTAAGTAGTCAGAAAGTTTCATAAATAAAAAGTATCATGACTTTGAATTCATTTTTTAAGGAGATGAGTTGAGTTGTTGTTAGGTGCCATTGAGTCAATACCAACTCCTGGTGATTCAATGGATTAGATGTCTCCATTCTATCCTGTACAATGTTTGTCAGTTCGTGCAAGGTCAGTTCTTTCTCTGCTCTATTTGTCTGATTCTTTGTTGACCCTTCCTGCACTTTCTCTGTCTTTCCAAGCATGATTTTTTTTTGTTCTAGTCCATCATGTGTCGAATGACCTTAAAAGACCACTCTCTGCTTTATAAGCAAGGCCTCAAGAAACATCCATCTCAAGCTTTGAGGATTGAAATGTTTGTTTTTGTTGTCCTCAGGAGTCTTCTCCAAACCCAGAGCTCGAAGGAATCCAGTTTTTTCTGCTTAAACTTTCCAAGTGTGTGTCTTTTGCATTCATCGTTAGAAAGGTTAAAGAGTCGCACTCATAGCCCTAGTATCGTTGAATCAGAAGGAAAATGTAAGTAAAGTTGAAGGGGAAATAAAGTGAGAGAGAAAAGAGTTGCCTTAGGATATCCATGTGATCCCTGGGGCATCTGCATTGTATTTATAATAAGGAAACATAATACAAATATATTAAATGATACAAAGAGTGAAGTAATCCATGTATGACAACAGGAAAGATAGATGTTACTAATCTATTCTTGGTCTAAATTGATCATCTCCTTGTCCTTCTTGATGGGTTGAAGATATAACATGGCTCTTTTCCCTAGCAAGAGATGTAACAACATAAAAAGTGTAAGCTTGTACGCCAATTCAAAACCATGATATAAAGCTTGATATTATAAACTATCTTTTGGTATATCTTATATTTTTAGACACTTATCTTCATCTTCAGTTCTTGGCAGAACATATCCTTAAAAAATGTAAACTGACTTCTAAAAGAACATTTTGCTCAACTATTTTTTTTTCAAACTAACAAAAATTTTACAAAATAATTCTATATTTGTTTAAACATTATTATATTATTAAATATTACTTTAAGGAATTAAAATATGCTTACTACTTTACTGTATAATGAACTCCAATTTCACTCAACTCTAATAAAAGTCACTATTATTGGAGCTCACTAATTTAGGTAAGTATTTTTAGGCAATCATATTTTTTTTATCTGGAAAAACCGCGGTGAACTAGCTTGAGTTCAAAGTCTAGTGTAGCCTCTCACTTATATTTGGATGCCCAGTTTAATGTCTAGCACGTATGTGAGCAGTTTAATTGCCAAAAGTACTTGAGAAATTGATGTTTAATATACATAGTAACTCTATTCCATAAAATTTTACACCCGTATGTCCCTTATGGATTCATCACGGGTGTGGCCTAGGTGGTAGGGGATGAGACACCACATATATTGCATTTGTAAGGCGCCGACTTTTAGGGTCAATAAGTTAATTGCGTGTCAGGAAAAACCTAGGGACTGATCGTATGTGGGTGGCGGCGGCAGAGGCAAAGATGAGAAGTGTCTTACAAGAAGTAATTTGTTATAACATTAAAAATAACTTACATAACAACAATGCAAAATACGATGTAGATCGTTCTGAGTTGGGGAGCTCCCGATGTCGGTGATAGGATGAAGGATGATGTCCGAAGTTGTATGGCCCGGGGCTTTGGTGAGGGAGAGTTCGTCGGGTTGCGGTGGAACAGGCGATGGGTTGACTCTTCTAGGAGGACTTCACGGCAGGCGGAGAACTCCCCCCCTTCTTCCATTGATTCGGGGTTTTATACGATTTCTCCTCGAATTTCCCATTTTTGATAAGTCTTGTGTCCCCTTTCCCTCAACCCGATTGGTCATTCTTCTGTCTTTAAGCGAGACCGAAGCCAATTCGGGTCGGGTAAGGCCCGGGAGGTGTTGACGAGATCTTGACACCCGCACTCGTAATTTACGTTGTTATAGTCTTTCTCGGACACTTGTCTTGACCGATTTGCTAGATGTTTTGCGTCCGTTTATCCCCCCAAATAGTTTAGGCCTCACATGACCTAACAGGTGTCCTTTTGGTCATTAGTCCTCCCGTTTTTTCCTTGATTGTTTACACTTCGACTCTTGTATACGAGCACCACGACAAAACTTCTCACCCGGTGGACATTCCCTCCGTCATTTATCACCGCGTCGCGTTTTGTTTTAGAACAAGTGTTTTCCTTTCTATCGAGTCTACCGCACCGACACGTGTTCTTGGTCCGATTTAACTTGAAGTTCCCCACTTAAAATTTTTATATTGAATCGAAATTTCGATTCGAGTTTAGGAACCTCACAATTCATAAAAATTTGTGTAGATTTGGATTGGGCCTCAACCCCCAGAGCTACAATTCCTGTTGTAGAGCTTTTAAAGTTACGTTTATTATCGTTATGAGTGTTGTGCAAAGGACAGCAATTCTGCAATACGGAGAGGGAGAGGAAGGAAACACACCCTCACCCCCTTGGAGGCAATCCAACTGTTAACAGGTACAATAATAATATAATATAATCTTTTATAGTAATGAATAGGCCTATATTAAAATTCTGCTCCTTAATTAAATGTGAGCTCTTCTATCTGGAAGTGCAGTGTTTAAACTCCTTTATTCAATGTCATATATAGATTATGTGTGCCCATTTAATATGTGGTAATTCACACGTATACGAAAATACTACGGAATATTTTCATAAGTTTTTTCTTTTTTATTCTCATCAAAGCATAATATTACAAACTTTTAAACTTATTAAAATTTATAATTGTTTACAATAATATAAGAATTAATGCAGAATATACTCTTATTTAGTGCAGTGTAAACTTTATACCTGTAAAATAATGAATTTTTTTAAAATATTATATATAAAAATATAACAACTTACAAATAAAACTATATAGAAAATATTTCTAGATTAAATATTGATATTAATTAACCTTTATTAGTGCAAATTTTTCAGGTAATTGTATATTATTTATCCGCTATAAATATTTTTAAAGGGATTTCTTCACTTCTGCTCTTTTCCCATTTAAACGCTCTGCTGGAGGTAAAACTGGTGGAACCACTGCCGGTGGAACCACGGCCGGTGGAGCCTCGAATGGTGGAACCCCGAATGGTGGGCGCCCAATTGGTGGAGCCCCGAATGGTGGGCCCGAGGGTGTTGAAGGACGATCTTGTCGTTGATTTATTCTGCCAATTGGACTGTTTCCTAATGTTAATTTGCCATTTTCTCTAGTTAACTTTAGCATATGATTGATAGATCTACGACCAACGACTTCGTTGTTTTCTAACAAAACAACTGAAAAGAAAAGAAAAAAGAAATCATCGATAATTCATCAAAGGTAATGGGTTCTTTACTTAGTTTTTAAACAATAATTATAAGAAAATTACTATATCATAGCAGTTTTCGAAGCTTTAAATGAATGTACAAACTACAGCAGATGTTTAAAGAATTAAAATCAGGCTAATTTGTAGATATTTCTCAAAAAGAGAACATCGACTTACTGATAATGGTGCCTACAAGCAAGAACATATTCATCTCTTCTTAAGTTTCTTCACTTACCCTTACAGTGACTATACACAACGTTTTGTCGTTCTTATATACAGTAAACTTGTGTTCAATCGGGTAATTTTATTGGCTTAACAACACTTGGCTGTCAATCACATTCACCCACCTACTGCAACTTTCACAGATTAATGCGATTGCCAATTAAACAGATCCACGTATACTTCAGTTTGTTAAACATATTTTGTTTTTTTATTTTACTTAATTATTATACTAGATTCGAACCTGCAAATATTTCTACTGAAAATTATTCCACTTTCAGACATGCATTATGACTAGGGAGAGAGATTTTTGGGTATAGCACCCAATTTTTTGAACTTCTCGGGACTTGGGCAATTTTTGCATTCACTGCGACTTTTAGGGGCATTTATATGGGGTTATAATACAAAAATCTAAAGTGACAGGCAGTAAATTAAGAGATATTACAAAAGAATTCTCATAAGATCAGGTAGCCACAGATGGAACAGTTGTGAGGTGTGGGATGTGCGACGTCATACATTTGCATAGACGAAAACAATAGAAAACACCGAACTAAACGATAAAACTTATACGTGTGAAAATACTTTCTCTTCTCTCTAAATTGTATATAAACAATTTTACTTAAACAAATAATAGATAGTTTCTTTCCAAACTCTTCACTCAGTGGGCACTAAGAGGCCTTTTTTTCATTCCTATCGCGTATTCAGTCAGGCCCACGATGGTGCGATCGGGCAGTGAGGAGCTGGGATCGATATATAAGAAACAAACCACCCCCGAAAAATTAATAGTATTTAAAAACTCGATTCGTGATTTATTTTAACAGTTGTTTCCATCGATCTAAATTTTATTATAAGAACAGTTCTGCTACGTCTACTAATTACTATGTAATTTAGGCCCACATTAATATTTTTCTCCAATGAAATGTATTAAGGTGGAAACACAGGTGGCCTAAAAGCCAGTTAACCGTCTTTTGTGTTTCTGGCACACTTATGAATATAAATAGTAAACTAAATTAGAACAGAGACTTTACTTTTATGAACACACGCATACACATACGTTTAGAAACAGGGGGAGGGTCTGGATCTAAGACTTCCAAGCCTTACTTTACCTTTATTCCATAAGGTAAAGTAGGTTTCCTGTTACCTTTTATCTACCTAGTATGTATTTAAAGTAATATTTACCTTTAGTTACGTGTCTTAAAACCGTTATTAAACGGTTTTAAAGCTGTACAGGTGTAAAAATTAAAATAATTTGAATAGAAAATTTAAGCCACTTGTGTTCTAATTTTAATTATTCATATCGACGATTAAATTTTAAAATATTCTTATTTAGACCTTATTATTTGAAGCTTACTGTTAAAAATACATTATTAAATATGGGTCTGTTGATTTGTTTGGGAATTTTAAGTTGCGAATCATGAAACTCCCTCGAATGTAAATAAAATTTAAAGAATTTTCTATTTTCTATTTAAAATAATTTTTAATAATTGTGTTCTACGCCACATTATTCTCTCTATGCTTTAAATTCACGTGGAAATTATGCAGCTGTTAGTAATTAAACTGTCAAACATCCAACGAACATTTGTGTGTTTACGCATTTGAAGAGGCTTTTATAAAACTAGGCAATGTTTTAAAATCATTTTCGAGTTCGCACTTTACTATATAATTTTTATAAATTTAATATTTAATATATTAGTCAGTTATTATGTTTTATTGTTTCATTTTCGAATCTCAAGCCTGAGGGGGGGTACTCATCAGTAGCTGAGTGGATAAAATCAATGAACACTGGTAGAGGGTCGCGGGTTCGCGCTTCACCAACGTGGCGTCAGGAGAGGAGTTGAGTTTACTTCGCGTGTATAGTACATAAATATAGGGGTCAGTTTTCCATAGGAAGTCTTCTCCGGATTAATTTGGTTTGATAGTATACGGCAACATAATACTGGGCGATCTGTTAAGGTGGGGTGCTTTCGGGAAGTACTTTTTTGATGGGAAACTGGGCCATATTCAGATATCAGAGAGATGAAAAAAACACATAATACTCCACCTGTTAATCAGGCACGAGCCCGTGACCAACTGCTAGTGTACAGTGGTTTTTTTTTCTGGTAGGGGTACCCCTTGGCGCATCATCATCCATGCTTTACGTTGCCACATCCCATCAAATCAAAGCAAACTATCGACATGCAAGAAAGGTTCTTACTTTGCAATAAACATTTCCTGAATTAAAATACATGGAGTTGTGTTTTAAACTTTACGCCAGCGATTGTGTACAGTGTTCGTTACGGGGAAAAGTCGCGGGAGATGGCGCTCGCGATAACAAGCGACTATCTCTCGCGTGCCTTTTCTTGCAACCATAAATCTTTTATACATGCTATAAGAGGCATAAGAGGGACTCTCATAGCAGGCCCATTATGGGTTCGGCCAGGCCCACAATGGGACGACCGGGTGGTGAGAGACTGGCCCGACACATCCGAACGGATCAACCACCGAAAAATTCCTGGTGATTCCCCTTCCGGATTTGATCCCGAGTCCCCCAGAGCGGTAGGCTACCACCTTGATCGCTCGACCATCCGGCCGTCTTTGTTTAGAGTAGGGGTGGCCAACATGAGGCCCGCCGGGAGTCGTGTTGCGGGTGAACAACTTTTTAGTCGCATGAAGTACATCAAATCACAAGTGAGAACACGAATTACTGATGTTCATTTGAAAAACTGTTTGCGTGTAGCGACAACATCAATGGAGATCAATTTTGATACACTTAGTTCTGTAAAACAAAGTCAGATGTCTCACTTTTAAATATTTTTAGATTGTCTAATAAATATGTTTCTCAGTTATTAAATAAATGATTCTTAGTTATGTTTTATTCTCTTAAAAAAAATAAATATATCTATTTTGTGTTTTTTACATTAAACCAGGCAAGTGTTTGACCACGATCTCGCCTACTGGAAAGCAACGATGTGGTTGAAGCTGTAGCACGCTTGCTTGTTTACTTTAATAAACAAAAAAAAATCAATTCACAAGTGTTTTTACATTGTTAGAAATAAGAGAAATTACGGACATAAAAAATATAAACATAATTTTTGTTGCCATGTGTATAATTTCACAATTTTACGACGAAAATTACAGCGTGACACCTGCACTAGTGAATCAACCTCTTCAATTTTAAAGTTAATACAGTAGAACCTCGAAAACTCGACCTAATGTGGACCGAAGGGTGGCCGAGTTTGTGAAAATGCCGAGTTATCGGGAATGGGGTTAAAAAAAATAAGTACGAGTATTTCCTCAGAAAATACTGTACTGTACTTGTACAGTATTTACTTGTACAGAATATAACAGAGAATAAACTGCCCAAATACCCTTAAACAAAGGAAAAGTACGTCCTTTATGAAGGCATAGAGCCNCCTTTCGATAAGTATCGAGCGTTCCATATTTTATCGCTCTTCTGAAGAGAATTTCCTCCCATTCGCCTAACGTCTGCTACTTGAAAATTAGGACTTCTGCATCTTTTAATATACTCGGAACTTTCCGAATCGTGAGACCTGTAACTGTCACTGACGGAAATAATCCCGTCGGGTTCGGAATCGCTGTGAGACATCTGAGAACGTCTGGGCGAAGCTGGACTGTATTGCTGCTCCTTGTTATCGCAGGCATCGTTATTCGTAGGGGATGGTTTGCCAGAATGATCGACTAACGTCTTAACCTTGGCCTGAAAAACGTGTTGGGGAGATTCCGGAAAATTATTTATATTATGGTCGCTGACGATGTTGACGTTTTGATGATCGTAATTTTCTATTATTAAGGAAGACGTCGAAATACTATTTTTCATATTGGAATTCACGTTTACATCTCCGTTTCTGTGAGATTCGGATATACTGTACGTGGAGCAAAGAGTGTTATTACATTATATGGCTAATTTACTAGAATACATGGTGTTGGCTTAGAGGTTTAATAAGAGAGAGAGAAAATTGATTGTAATTTAATGAAAAACCTGGGCAGATTTTTAACATCTAAACACACTTCAATGTGTGCACCAACAGTGGCAAATTCTGTGTCTCCGATCAATCCCACCAGCGGGGTAAGAACCAATCTATCTTCTGGGAAACTTCGTTCAGAAACTGTTTTATTAAATCGCAAAAGAGAAGCCACATCTTATTGGGTGCCAAGAGGAAGTCGAGGAATAGCGTAAGTTGCAGCAGGTCCAAATAACTCGATCCTTCGTAAACGTGTACCTAATTTGCCAGGTATGGTATGGTATTCCTCAGAAATATCAAGATAAAATACACCTCTAAGCCTGACACCCTATATTTATATTGAAAAAATCGAATGCGTACCTCCTGTATTCCTTCTTATCGATCTCGTTATTGATGTCTTTATTTATTTTATTGTCTTCGATATCCACTTCTATATATTTCTTTTCTTCCGCCTGTCTGGAAAAATTCTCCTCCTTTTCGGAAGATACTGATTCCTTGTTTATTTCTAAAGGATGTTTCAAGGGTACTCCGTATAACTTTGCGTATTCGACTTCTTCCGTTTGAACCGCTAATCCAAAGAAAATTAAATTAAAATCTACGGAAAATATATATATATATATAATTATAATAAAGTTACAATAAATTAAATTATTATATATTTATATATACAATACCTAATTTATATATAATTAATATATAATTATATGTACAGTACCTAATTTATATATGATTTATATATAATACTGTACAGACGATAGTAATTTCTCCGTAGCATGGCGCTTGACGGCGCGGAAAGTAGTTCGGCTGCCCGATGACGTTTTACGTAATTATAGGAGTTTTTTTTATTTTTTTTACGGATACCGTCGCAATTTTTTCGCTGTCTTATAGGAATCGTAATTATAGGAATCCGTATTATAGGGGGTCTACTGTATTGTAATCGGTGAAAATTTTACTGCTTTTCAGGTGGTTTTGCATCTCCATAAGTTTTAAGGTTTTGGCAGCAATCTTTCTGTATATGGGCATTGATGCCATTACATTTTGGAGATTATAAACCAATTGAAAAGGGGGATACAACAGGTTGAGTGTCATATCTCGTGTGGAGTCAGACTTAACTATTATTTTACACGTTATTAGCATTTACTCTTTTTTTCTAATTTTAAAAAAGAATAATTATTTCACTTTCTGGTCGTCTTAACGTCTTTTTGGAGTATCCAGAGAGTCGTTTAAGATTCTTTGCCATGTTTTTACTGTTGGCCTCTATTTTACTTAATATCTCAGGATGGAGTACAGAATAATTAAAGAAATTTGGCGTGGTAACTTGTATATAACGGAACATTAATGCTATGAAATGTTATAATTAAAGGTCGACGGGGTGGGGAGATAGAGGGAGTCGTGTGTCGGAATTAATAACGATTTTACTCGTTATTAACATTTACATTTTTTTTTTAAATGAAACTCATCCCTATCCTGAAAATTAAGCTTTTTGCTAATTTATAAGAATTAATTATATAAAAAATTTAAAATAAAATCTGATAATGGATGGCGCAACATGTATGGATGTCGTCACATTACTTTTCTTGTGGCAAATTAAACCAGAGGTGCTAAGACCGGGAACAAACGGCTTTTTCATCCAACGATTTAACCACGTGGCCAACCTATAGAACATAGAGACACAGTAAATTATTTGGTTTTAACAACTAACGCTGGCCACGTTGTTAACGCGGTTTTTATTAGTAATTTGTTCTAAATTCTGTTGACCATCTGTGGACGGCAACCGGAGCAAATATGGCGTACAAAATTTTGTTCGTAAACCGAATTGTTCCTAATCAGAAGCGTTCGGAATTCCAGGTTTTATTGTAATTGACTCTATCTATCCGGCAACTCTGACTGAAGAGGCGATGTTTGTATGTGTAGCGAAATATTGATAATATTCTTAGTATTAATACTTTCTATTATTCGAGCATTCGGGGATATTATTCGCCTATTTATAATATAAAGTTCTCATAGTGTTTCGAAACGCACTTACCAATGTCTTCCGCCATATTCAATTTATCTATTTACAAATTTAATGGGAATTATAAATTAAATTTAAAGAAAATATTAAAAATTTTTAAAATTGTCGAAAAGATCAGAACCACAGAATGCGCGCTTAGTCTTTAAATATGGTGGCAATTCTGGTAAGTTTTAGTCACTTTGGTTTCTATTTGTTTGTTTGTTTTGTTAAGTTATGGTCGACCTGCCTCCCGGGAGGTCTTTTAAAGGTAACTAGCCTCTATTCAGACGTTACAGACATGGAGAAAACCCGGAAAACTCTACATCTTGCCAAGGCACGAACCCACAACCAAACTCCCAGTGTTTAGGAAACGGAAACGAAACCGCTTGGCCACTGGTGGGCCAATTCTGTTTCAAATTACAGGAATATTTTCTTATTTATAGTTAATTTCTGCCTTCGGAAAACTTTGTGCTAATTTCACAAACATTTTACAGGTAATAAAGAACTTATTTGAATGACTTTCATAAACGAAACCTATTTATTATTACTTTGTTTTATTTTTAATCAAAATATAAAATAATTAATTAACTGACAAACGTATTGAAAATGTGCTAAAATCTCTTATATATTTGATTTTATTGGATAAAATACAATTTATATTATTCTATTACTATATGATTATACGCCGGCTATTTATTTATTGCAGTTGGCGCAGGAACAGCAGGATCAGTTTTAGCCAATAGACTTTCCGAACCACCGCATATTACAGTTCTTGTGTTAGAAGCAGGAGATATGGCTCCTCTAACCTCTGAGATTCCACTTATTCCTGTAAATTTAGCTTTTACAAATTACAGTTGGCAATTTAAAAGTGTACCCAGTAAAACCATAGCTCAAGGTCTTAAAAACAGAGTAAGTAATCAATAATAATAAATTTCCAGGGGTGCATATACACCTAAATATTCATTCAAATTTATTCTCTTCCAGCAACTGTTAACTGTGGAAGGTAAAGCGCTTGGGGGAACCACAGTTTTAAATTTTAACTTATTTGTGCGTGGAGATTACGACAATTGGGCAAGACATGGTGCCATAGGTTGGGATTGGAAAAGTGTCTATCCTTATTTTCTAAAACTGGAAAACAATCGAGAATATTGCAATGGTAAATCTTTCTTCAATTGTGCTAAATTATGTTTATAAATCGTATAGCGATTTAATGACAATAATGTACAGTACAATACAGTATATCACGGTGTTGGTGGAAACGTTATTGTGCAGACACCACCTTTCCATGCACCAATAACGAAAGGTTATTTAGAAGCAGCCATAGAAATTGGATATACTCCTGGAGACTTTAATGCAAAGAATCAAACAGGTACAGCATTTCGTAATAAATACTGTTTGAAATATTTTATTGTATTTTTAGTTTTATATTTAAATACTACCACTTTTGAAGTGTAAAAATCGAAAGCGTACGTACAATAGAAATCTGTAAGATTTTATTCGTAGAAGAAACAAAATAATTTTCGGAAAAACATAAAATATTTATTTGATGGAAGTAACGTCTATTGTATTTTCAAAATGTTGGCTATATTATTAAATTTGACGAAGATTCTGAAATAGGAGGCATTATATGCCTTATTTTAATTCATATTTACAAAATTTATGACATAAAAAATGTTTCAGTGTTTCAACCTCCTCAAGGAACTGTTAATAGAGGAGCACGCTGGAGTGCGGTTAAAGCATATATTAATCCTGCACGAGGTCGAAGAAATCTTTGGATCTTAACTTCAGCATTTGTTCACAAGGTAACTTACATTATCTTACACTATGGTTTAAAGGAGAGTGAATAGGTGTTTATATTTATAGATATTGATCCGGAATAAACAAGCTTACGGAGTTAAGTTCGAGCACCGTGGACAGTTGCACGAAGCTTATGCCAATAAAGAAGTGATTATATGTGCTGGGGTATTTAACTCACCTAAACTCTTAATGCTATCAGGAATTGGGCCAAAGAATACATTACGGAAGTTCAATGTAATAAATATTTTATTCTTAATTTTTCTCTTGTTTACATAAAAATATAAAGAGCAATATAAATTTTTAGATTCCTATTGTAGCGGATTTACCAGTTGGAAGAAATCTTCAAGAACAGCCATCCACTTCTGGTATGGCATTTGGAGCAAACACTTTTACTTATTCTGCACAACGGATCACCGTGCTGGATTATAATGAATTCTTAGTTAATGGCACAGGTAAAATTAAAATAAAAATCGTTAAAATTGATTCTGAATACATTCAAATATTTATTATCTTATTTCAGGTCCACTGACATCTTTGGGAGGAACTGACACGATTGGATTTGTAAATTCTAAATATAATAACAATCCTGATTGGCCAGATATTGAATTATTGTTGTTTCCTTTATCAGCAGCATCTGATAAAGGCGCAGTTTTAAAAAACGTGTTTAACCTAAAGGAGGAAGTAAGTTTATTTCATATTTATGCTTGAAGATTTTAGTGTTTAAACAAATGCACTAGATTGATTGCATTTGTTTATACACTATATTTCAGCGGTGCACGCAGACTATAAAAACAGAGGGAGCACAAGCCATCATACATTATGCAGGAAACTTCAAACCTGTTTTACATCGGATCAGCGCTCTTACAAGGTGGTGCTGCTTGTAATCGGGGCTTGGCCTTGAAAACAATGAACATTCCTTGTTTTCAAAGCCAAATTTTGGTAAGCATATGACAAAGTTGCATCAGACAATAGGCATATATAGTTCTTTCGTAGTATATTGTCTAGGGAATTGTAGGAAACACTTAAAATTCTACTTAGCAATACTGTTTACGATGAATTCTGTTAAAACGGAAGTGTTCACTAGTACATAACTGCTACAATGTGTTTTGTGAATACGTGAATGTCATTAGACCTCTAACTCAGCCACACGCTGATTAGGCCCTTTAGGGAAAGGTCCCCGCAGCCAGAGAAATTAAGTATGACTCAGTTCTTGGTTGAGTCCGTTTGAAACAGCTTAAAGCTGTACAAAACTGTATGTCAGCCTTACAGAGTTTGATTCGAGAGCAAGGAAGGAGAGGAAATCTTATCCTCTTTGGGTTATACTACCAGAGCCCGAGCATATAACTCGGTCTGATTTTAATCCTTTAGACATCTCAGTGACAGTCTCTTCGTACTCTGTAGTGCCATTTGGCAGAGCAAAAGTATTTAACTTAGAGTCGTAAATATGAGAGTATTCATTAAGTCACAATTATTGCTATATACTTGAGACGACTGGATGCACATGTATTTAATAAATGATTTCTTAATTAATTAATATTCAAGATACTAAAATCATACATTTTTTTTACTCAGGTGTATATGGAAATGTTCGCACCATATACAATGACTGACACAATATCGTGTTTTCCATATCCAACACGTCCAAGAAGTAGAGGATATGTTACTATCAGATCTCGTAATCCTTGTGATGATCCTATTATTGATTTCAAATTTTATTCGAATCCTCACGACTTAAAAGTTATGGTCGAAGGTAAGATTAATACAATTTTCTTGTAATGAAGGTTTTATAGCCTATAATTTAATAACGTGTTAAATTATTTAAGATAAATAAATTTAATACCTGAAATTTTAGCTTTGAGGTACTGCCTGAAGATAGCAAATTCTGAAGCATTGAAGAAATATGGAGTTTATCAACTTCCTGTTCCCGGTTGCGAAGGTTATCAGAAATACAGTGACGAATATCTCGCTTGTATAGCAACAACACTACCATTTACAATATACCATTATTGCGGAACGTGTAAAATGGGAAGTTATAAAGATCCTACAACTGTGGTTGATCCAACGCTCAAGTAAGTTCTCTTCGAATACTTTATGAATATACAGAGATCCATTATCTATACTAATATAATAAAGAGGTAATGTTTGTATGTATGTTAGTTTGTATGCAGCAGGTAATCTCCAAAACTACTCATCCGATTTCAAAAATTTTTTCACCAATATTTAGAATGGAACTTCAGGATGGACATAGGCTGTATATTATTCCGTTAAACATGGGTGATGGACAGTTCTTTACGGTAAGCCTTACGGGGAAGGCTTACCGTAAAGAACTCTGCTTCTATTTATACTATTTTAGATGCGGTTTTTTGCATTTTTGATTGCATTTTAATATGGTACGTCAACAGAATGTACACAAAGAAGGGATTTTTCGATATTCCCTTCGGGGGGAGAGGGACAGGATTAAGGCTTACTGTGAAGAACTTCACTTCTATTACAGTCGACCCCCCTATAAGATCATTGATTTTTCCGTTTTATCTGAATTACATGTTGTACGAGTCACTTAGATTTTACAAATACGTGTGCCGGGCTGTGAACGGCTCACATATTTGTAAAATCTAAGTGACTCGTACNTACTACCGAAAACGTACACCTGATCATCTTCTTGCACGGTAAATACATTACACAGATTGCCGTGTAAAAATAATCGCGTAAAAATGTACATGCACAGTATAAGCATCTCGCAGGATAATCCTCGATAGGATCTACGACTTCGATGGAATAAAAACTAAATAATTTACAAAAGAAACACGGGTTTTTTGAGATGGGTTACTGTACTCGTTACAATGTAGGTCGAATGAGCCTCAGAGCAACGATAAATTTTTAGTCGCTTACTCCAGGAAATTGAATCACAGTTCAAGTTACAATCGTATGATATTGTGAACTGCCGGGGAGGTCGGGAACCGTCGACTCTCCCTTTTCGGCGACAGGTCGTTAAACCTGCTCACTTGTCAAGATGGCAAAATTTCGAATGCGGTCCCGAAGGGTCGGGATACCTTTTGTCAGGTCGAGTGGAGTAGGTGAGAGGGGTCGTCGACGAGGCGTAGGCATTTTAAATGACACCATTGTTAAATGGTGTCATTTAAAATGACACCATTGTTAAATGACACCATTTAAATGACACCATGGTTTAAATGACACCATTTAACAATGGAAATAACGATTTATTAGATTAACGAAAAGAAAAAATTTAAAGAATACAAAATCTAACATCGGGAGGAAATGAATTTAGGTCCCTAGCTCCTAACTCGCGGAGAGAGAGTATACATTAACTGTTTCATACCTCTAGTAGATTCAACGTAGCCACAGAGTTCGACGCACAAAGTAAAAATTCTCGGAGACTTAATCCTTTCAGACCGTAGATGTGAGATCCCCCGAGGAGGGGGAAAGAAGTAGCTTTTATAGCTTCGGGCTGGGGAAATTAGTCAGGTGATCCCCTATTGTGAGAGGTAGAGTTGGTCCTGCAAGTGTGGAGATTAAAGTTGTTCCCGGGACCAAAACAGAATGACGAATTCGGACTTTAACTATAAACTTTTTGTCTTGCAGCAGAGGAATGTCATTGTTCGAGGGTTAAATATTTATATTAAGGAGGAAAGTTATAAGTTTCTGTCGATATTTGATTCTTTTTCCGACAATGTTATTTTAACGAGGAGGCGACAAATTTATTTCAAATACAGTACAGCCTTGATTATCCGACCACCGATTAACCGACACCTCGGTTAACCGACCGTCCTAGTCGGCAAATTTCAAATGTCCGCTAGTGATGTGATCGCTACAATATTTGGCTATGTATTGGGTAGTTTAATATTATTTTTACGTGTTTTAGCTGGCAACACTGGATCGACCATGAAAGGGAGCCAGTATTTAATTAAACGAGGTTTAATTTTCTAATTTTTAACGATACAATAGCGACGATTATTATTTTAAAAAATTTTTGTTAGGCTTAACATCGATGAAAATTCAACGCGAAGTAGGTTAATAGCGATATACTAATATACTAATTACATGGGATATAATAATATACTACACTAATAATGGATTTTTTCATACTTTTCGGTTATCCGACTTTTCAATTATCNAAGGCTTACTGTGAAAAACTTGGCTTCTATTATACTATTTTAGATGCGGGTTTTTGCGCTTTTGATTGCGTTTTAATAGGGTACGTCAAGAGAATGTAAACTAAGAAAAAATTTTTCGAAAAATTTCCCCCCACGGGGGAAGTGTTATACATTTATAATAGATACATTTTGAGCCACAACAAGGCGTGGCGGGGTCTGCTAGTTTAACATATAATTAAAAATTATAAAACTTGTTACTTAATTTTACGGTATTAAGGTCTTTCATTATAACGTTATCTGTTTCATAAATCGGATTATAATAGATTCTAAATCAAATAACAAATCCATCGTAATTTGTACGGGATGCTGGCTTCTTCCGGTTGCGTTATATAGGAAGTTATACTAAATTTATCTAAAATTTTTGTGCAGTATTTCAGCAGAAATATATTATGTGTTATAAAAATATCCATGTAATTATTTATAACAACACAGATATTTTTATTAAGTGCAAAAAATGTATGCTTAATTAACGTTTGAATCTATTGATGCTCTTCAAAAACAGCTGTCATTATGAAATAAGTATAACGTTACGATTTATGTGGTTTCGTCTTCATGCGCTACAAGCACGCCCTCCCGTTTTAGATGCTGTTAGTGTCGTTGATTTTGGCAAATTTGCTGGTGTTGTATATCTACAATATTTGATAATTAGTATATTTGTGAATCTGTATTAATAAATATTTTGAGAATGTAGTAGTTGTGGGAATCCATATATATATTAGTTTCGCCTTTACACATAAAAAAAAAAAACCGATCACCGAAATTGAAAATTTTGTGTCTACTACACTCCTCAAAAGTGAAATCGCAAGACCACGAAGGAATGCGCATAGCCGCATTGCCGATACAATATATTATATGGTATCGGCAAAACTAGAAATCTTGCCGACGCAGCCTGTTGGGTCTCCTTCCGGTTATTTTTACTACCAAAAACGTACACCTGTTCCTCTTCTTGCACGGTAAATACATTACACAGAACGCCGTATAAAAAATAATCGCGTAAAAATACACATGCATAGTATAAGCATCTCGCAGGAAAATGCTCGATAGGATCCACGATTTCGATGGAATAAAAATTAAGCAATTTACAAAAGAAACACGAGTTTTTTGGGATGGGTTAGTGTACTCGTTATAATGAAGGTAGAATGAACCTCAGAGCAACGATAAAATTTTTATTGCTTTACTCTAGGTAATTGAATCCCAGCTATACAGTTCAATTTACACTCGTATGATGTCTTATGTACAGTTATAAGTTTAAAATGAGTTTTTATTTATTTACTAAATGCCGAAATGTTTGAAAACTAACATTATAGACTATTGTTTATCTTTCTTTCAGAGTTAAAGGTGTAAAAGGACTAAGAGTAGCGGATGCTTCCATAATGCCATTTGTGATAACTGGGCACTTAGTCACTCCAACTTACATGATTGGGGAAAAGGCTGCTGATATGATTCTCTGTGATCCACTCTATAACTAACACTTTGAAAATAAACAAGAATAAAAAATATTTTCAAAGTGATATTATGTATTAGTAGTGATAATATATCTTAATTAGAATTAATAAAAACTTAGCACCAACTACCATGAAATTGGAATGAAAGATTTCGAAATTGATCTTCGGATAAGAGTGATTGTATGTGTGAAGATAGGTTATTGGTTGGCGCCAGACTTCTCGCCCTGGACACCCTTTAATGGATCGGAGAAGAAGGCCCATACTTGTTTTATGTTCTCGGTCTACGCGGTCTTCAAAGAAGCGAAAGAACGTCCTCTTTAACTTTTTAGTGTCTTAATGGCTCTAGCGAGCTTCCCAGCTGTTTAGAGAAAAAACAAAATGTGTGCATTAGAATGGAGTAAACACGTTACGTATGGTTACCTAAAACAGGGTTGTTAAACTTGCTGCCTCCGATGTGATTTTTCATGGCCCTTGGCCCCCGCGCTCTGAAATTAAATAAAACGGCATACAGATAAAGATTAACTGATAAACATCTTTCTATCATAATAAAGATTGTTCTCAGTCTTTGAATCCAGATATTACAAAACTAGGAGGTGGAAGATAGCGCTGGCAAGTTTTTGGTGAAAACAATTCATTTTAGTTTTATAAATATGCACATTAAATAAAATAAATATTTAAACAAAAGCAATACTATAGCAATTATATATTGTTGAGTTGAATTTATAGAACTACATAACGTGTTTTAATTGCCCTCTCTTGGCTGTATTCCTGCATTCTCACTTGAAATTATAATTTTAAGAAAATTTGTAAATGTGATGTGACCCGCGTGAATCTTATCAGTCGCATTAATGGTTCGTTATTTAAATGAGTTTGACACATCTGACCTAAAAGATTCAGAAACCAGTTGCTTAACTTTGCCGGCATCATTTGGAAGCGTCATCTGTTATGATATTTTATTTTCAAAAATTCAGTTTTAACTATTATAAAATGACAAAAACCTTAATTTTCAGGGTAGGGAAGAGTTTTATAAAAAATTGCAAATATCTGACTGTATAGCAGATACACACGACCCCTATTATTTCCCCACCCTCTCAACCTTTTAACACCAAAATTTAACAGCATCAATTCCCATAATAAACAAACCTCTATGCGAAATGTCAGAAATTTTCGACAAAAACACAGGAATTATTAAGCTTTAATAAAAGTAAAGAAAATCTTGCCCCGCACACTCGCTAACATCCGTACAAAAGGAAAAACCCTAATATATTTTTTTTCCTTGCATTTATCGATATTTCCAGTTTACCTGAGTCCAAAAATCTTAATTTTTATAATCTATATACTACTATATAAAGAGAGAACGTATTTTTCGTTTGTGACCACTAACCGTGAAAACTACTGAACCAATCGTTACCAAATTTTAACTGTAGCATCTTTATGATCCCTGGAATGTTTACCATTAATCAAACCTACAGATTTTTTATTAATTAAATAAAACTGCAACGGATTTTTGTCTGCAATACTGCAATGTTACAGTACTGCAATACTACACATTAATCACTCAAAAATAATTAATGAACAATTAGTTCAAATTTTCTAAGTTCTATATGTTTACTGTATAAGAGCGGGCAGGCCGCGACGGGGATGCTAGTTTAAATAACCTGTCTAAAACGGAAACCTGAACCTGTAGAATACGGAAGTCTGCCAAAGCGGAAAAGATATTCCATTTTACACAGGTTTTTCTGTAAATGAGTTTTACACAAATAATCTCTCAAGTATAAATGAAGAAAATTGACGTTCCGCAACAATTCCGCTTAAAGATGGCGACCAACAATAAAATATCGAACAATTCCTTAGTTTCGAACGTTGGACATTCCGACAAAAACGTCACCCATTACGTCGAAATATGTCGGGCCTCTCTTCTTCCTCACCCGGACACCCATTTTGGGCCTTTATGGCTTGAGAAAATGCCAACAGGGGATGCTGGCTCTCCACGGATTCAATGTTGATGGAACTGATTTGAAAAGATGTGCAGGAAATCGAAACCAGTGACGTCATCTAATACTGTTCTCGAGATTACGAAAGGACGGGCAAACACACAGACGACAGTCGGAATTTATGTGTACATTTTATTTCAAATTGTAGCCCAACTACATTAAATTATTAACAATTTTAATAATAAATTTACACGTGTTCTTGAACATGTACAAAGTGTGAAAATACATTATAAATTGATGAATTTTAACAAATATGACAAGTAAAATACTCTCTACAAACAGTTTATAAGTTGAATTTACATTTTCATTTAAATCAAAGACATATAAGATTAGAATTAGACGTTCTTCACTTTATTTTTGCTTAAACACTAAAATTGTAAGGAATTTTAGAGATAAAATGTTAAGGATTGATGGAGGATTCAGTTGTTGTTACATTATAACTGGAAATGTTACATTTATCCGTTTTTCCAGCTAAAATATCACGGATTTGTAATAGCATGTCGAATATACCGTAAAGATTTTGGAACACCTGAAAAAAAGAAAACAATAATTATCAATAAAATAAAAGTTATAAAATAATCAAAAATCTTATAATAGTAATCATAAAAAAATGAACGTCCAGATGGAAAGAGGACTAAAAGAGAAAAGTACCCTGTGCCTGGAGCAAGTGAAAATCCTACACAATGTTTTTTACCTGCGATTTCTTTTATGTATTGTACTTTGTACTCCTTTAAACTCTGGACAGCCCTTCGTATGAATGCGATTAATTACGTTTACCTGAACGGGACATTCTTTCGACATTATAAAACAACCTCCACAATCGAGTCCAATTTCTTCTTCACGAAATTTCTTCATGAAATTCAACATCTGTTGAAATATATTCTCGTTAACGTGAATAGTCTTTTGTATAACGATGCTGAATATTCTTACCTTTAATTTATCTTGCAAACGTCGAGAACAAGCTCCCAATCTTCTAATTTCTTGGAATGAGTCGTAGGCCTACGCAATAGTGTTATGAAATTATTTGTTTTAAAGTATTTCGTTGCCTCAAACACGAGTAATTTAATATACAAATTAAAACGGATACTTACAGATGATGCCACTCTCGAAACGGCAAACGAAATAATACACATGCTTACACTTAATAAAATTGTAATACCTATCATCATTATATGAAGCTTACTGTTAAGTACTCGGAATAAAATAGAATAGAAGCAAATCGACACAATCGTAATGCCCACCCCGTATAAGAAAAGAAGAATTTCACTAATCTTGTCATTAAGGTAATCTATGAAATCGCAAAGTTCCGCATGTTTGGCTATTAAATTATCTATTTTTCGCTTGTTCCAATCAACTTTTGCGAATTGTAAATCGAATGAAATCGCATCGAATCTTTCTTTGACGGCAAAACACATTACGCATGCAGTTGCAAACGAAACTAATACGAGACCGCATTCGTATATGACGCATGTGTTTAGAAAAACGCTGCAGATTACACTACGCCAATAACCGCTGATTTCTTCGATTTTCACACTGGACAACACCGAAATGGTAATCGTCATAATGGTAGCCATTACGAAAAATGCGCTACCCACACAAAGGTGGACTACTTTCTGAAAACTCAATAATTTTTCTCTTTCGCCTGCGTAACTAGAGAGCTTTAGATTAAGCATTATTTTCTGTTTTTTCCCAGCGTTGTGAACGGCAGCACTAAAAAATGCACATGACATAAGCAGGGATCTAACAAAAGGCATGCTCTGTTTTTCGGTCAGTTTATGTGTGGCACTACATCCGATTGTTTTGTTATCTGTGGGGAAAAGCTGAATAGCTAAGAGAATGAAGTGCCCTATATAAATACCTTGCGCGATTAGAAAATAAATTCGCAAAAGCTTTGTCTTGTTGTTGCTTTGTGGCCTGCATTGACAAGGCTCGAAGTATAAGTCTCCAAATACGTAGGATAAAGATATCGAAGGTAAGAGAGAACAATATAAGCATTCGTCTCCCATTGTGAATGGAAACGATTTAAATTTTGTTGTATTGTTATAGAACATAAGCAACTATATTATTTATATAACACAGTACTTACTCTAGTCTATTATTTCATTCGAACTGTTGTCTATATCGTTATTAATGTCCAAACTATTTCAATTACTTAACGTGCCATACGGAAACGAATTTCCGACAATATAAATATAGAAGCAAACCGACAATATTTTAAATGAAATAACAGATATGGAACAGTCGCTTGATACAAGTATTAACTCATAATTTAAGTAGAAGAATGTAAAATGTGACATTCTGTTATTTGTAATTTGTTATTAAAAGTTACGTAAATACTTAAAGAATGCTGTTAAATATATTAAATGCGTATAATATGTATTTAGTTATATAGAAAATTGGAAATATCTATTTAAAATTTTTAAAATTACACAATATTATAGTAAAAATACTTTTATTTCTATATTAACAAGTGAACAGAATAAACATAATAAAATATTTATTAATTAATCACTTGAACGCATTCTTTGATTTCTAACAAACAAAATATTCATTACTACAGACCCCCGCCACGCGTTGTTGTGGCTCAAAATGTATCTATTATAAATTTATAACACTTCCCCGTGGGGGGATTTTTCGAGAAATTTCTTCTTAGTGTACATTCTCTTGACGTACCCTATTAAAACGCAATCAAAAACGCAAAAACCCGCATCTAAAATAGTATAAATAGAAGCAGAGTTCTTTACTGTAAGCATTAAACCTAACCATCTCCCTTCAGTGGGGTTTATATCGACACGTATATTATAAAAAACATTACCTCTTTATAATATTAGTATAGATAAATACGGCTCTATAAGGCATTTCTACATCTTTATCTTTATTTACTGCCAGAGCATAATCGGGTGAAATACAGATATATATCAAAGCACAGGTAAATACATACGTAATAACAAAGAGATAACGTACAAACAGCATGGAGAATAGAGAAGAAGTATGAACAGATGGTGAGATGACCGATACAAATCAACCGATATGATACATAACTTGACAGTAGAATAACATGCACAATAGTATAAAATAAACA